TGGATAGCCTCTTGTCTTTATGAGTTAGTTTAGAAGTGGTTATTTCTTTAACAAAGAGTTGAGATGATGTTACAATGATATATTTAGCCTTAGGGTATAGATTTAGAAGTGGTTATTAAAGTCAACTGTGAAATTGCAATTATGTCTTCAAAAAAAAAAATCAAACAAACAAAAATGGGAAATATTCTATCAAGTGAACAGTTTTGTAGTTGCAGTTGTTGGTTTCGGTATTTTATCTGTTGATTGTGCGGCTTGAGCTTAGGACCTGAATGCTGTCTCTGAGCCTCTTTGTGCTCAAGGCTAGTGCTCTACCACTTGAGCCATAGGGCCACTTCCAGTTTTTGAGTGGTTAATTGAAGCCTCAGATCTCAGCCTTCTGAGTAAGTAGGATTACAGACGTGAGCCACCAGCACTTGGCAGTAACTATTTTTAGTTGCAAAATATTCAAATGTGGCCTTCAAGCTCTTTTGAAGTCCAACATTTGAAACCTACCAGAAGGTTGAGAAAAAATGTGCTCCAGCAGCATATCAAAACACAAACCTCCTTCTGAGAAAAGGAGTTGTCAGCAGCTGCCCTTCTCATTTCTGTTCTCAGCAGCCCATTCAGATATCTGCCATCTGCATTGCTCTGTTTTCCAGGAGGAATTTTTCAATAGTTTTTATGTATTTCCAGTTTTAAATCATAAAGCAAATGAGAGGAGTCTCCTCTTTTAGGTATAGTACTAATGCTGGTAATTACAATCCTGTTACAAAAGAGTAAACTTGGAGTTCTTGGAAGCACGTTTGAAGTGAAATTTTTTAGTATTTCTTTTTCTTGACAAATTTAGATGAGATCTAGTGTTTTCAAAAAATAAATTTTTGGCTGGGCGCCAGTGGCTCATGCCTGTAATCCTAGCTACTCAGGGGGCTGAGATCTGAGGATCACGGTTCAAAGCCAGCCCAAGCAGGAAAGTCCGTGAGACTCTTATCTCCAATAAACCACTAGAAAACCAGAAATGGCGTTGTAGCTCAAGTGGTAAAGTGCTTACCTTGAGCCGAAGAGCGCAGGGATAGCGCCCAAGCCCAGAGTTCAAGCCCCATGACCGACCAAAAAAACCAAAAAACAAAGATTTTTTAAAATAATTTCACATTCTTTTCTCATCACGCTTTGTTTTGTAGATGGGCTTGGTGTGTGTGTGTGTGTGTGTGTGTGTGTGTGTGTGTGTGTGTGTGTGTGTGTGTGTGTGTGTGTGTGTGTGTGTGTGTGTGTGTGTGTGTGTGTGTGTGTGTGTGTGTGTCGCGCGCGCGCGCATGCACACCTGGGTGCACTTGTACTAGGGTTTGAAGTCAGGGCCTAGACCCTGCCTCTTAGCTTTTTTCTCACAAGACTAGCACTCTTCCACTCGAGTATGGCTTGGTTCATTTCAAACTACTGGTAATAATTGTTTTTATTTAGGAATAATTACTTCTAAAAATAGTTGTAAAGGGATTATATTGAAATAAAGGTTTTGTGTACAGATACTGTAATTGCATTGCTATTAGAAACTATCCTCAGGGTATATATTCTAGGCTGAGAGTGAATTAAGCACAAAGAAAGCACTGAACTTGAATAGCCCCACCTACCGTTCTTGGTTACCTTATGTGGTATTGGTGTACACTTCACCTGCATTCCTGAAGCTTACAAGTCATCAGAAGAAGCAGTAGGATAGAAATTTGCATACACCATCATTGAAAAGTGCATACAACCAGGTCACTCTCAGTAAAGACTTTATCTCCAATGTCTAGCACTTAGTCTGACACATTAACAGATGCTTACATCTCCTGTGCAAAGGCTTGAGGGTCTACAACCCAAAATAATCTCCCTCTTCCCATGCCTCCACAGCACTCTGAATCCCACACCATTTCATGTGTGTCTGTCACATGGTGCCATCACAAGGGCATGATTAGCGATTATTAAAAAATGAACTCCCACCCCCAATCTTGGCTTTTGCATTTTGCTACAAATGAAAGGGTAACTTCTTTCCTTTCTTCTTTAAACTAGAAATAACCCCCCAAAACTAGAAATCAGTGCTCAAATCCTCTCATGAAACTGGCCCTCAACGTATTTTCAATACGTTCAATATGCATTTCATCTTAGACAGGTGAAGTTGCAAAGGTTGAGTTGGCACATCCAAGGGAAATAGCTGGTAGACAGTTAGATGTGTGATCTGGGGGCTAGGAGAAAGACTTGGCAAGAACTTAGCTATAAATGAGACCTCTGAGTCTGTGGGTGTGATTGTGGTCTCGAAGAGAGCAAAGAGAAGGCTAGTATCAACCCTTAGGAACAAGCCAGGAAGGATCCTGGAATTGAGGCTTTGTCTAAGAAAGGGTCCCCGGGGCTGGGAAGGTAGCTCAGTGGTAGAGCGCTTGCTTTGCATGCCTGAGGCCCTGGGTTCGATTCCTCAGCACCACATAAGCAAAAAGAAAAAAGCCGGAAGTGGCGCTGTGGCTCAAGTGGTAGAGCGCTAGCCTTGAGCTGAAGAGTTGAGGGACAGCGCCCAGGCCCAGAGTTCAGGCCCCACGACCGGACCAAAAAAAAAAAAGAAAGGGTCCCCATCATACTTGTTACTTGGCCAAAACATGGGAGCAGTAGCAGCAGAGATTAATACCTTTGATATATTCGTATTCATTACTATTAGGCTTTCTGTCTTGTTCTCCTGAAGTTTTGGGATTTTTTTTGTTTTTGTTTTTTGTTTTGTTTTTATAAGCTTTATTTCACTGGAAGTGATTAGGCATGAAAAGAACTTGTAATGAAAGATATTTCTTAAAGTCTGAATTCATGTTGTATCCATGTTCTTCAGTTATCTGTGGCCGATTGTCCCAAAACACAATTGCTCCCTCCATCATTACTGACAACTATATTGTGATTGCTTCTTTCCCCTTTCTTCCCATCTCAATAGTGGACTGTCTTCCTGTAGGAGCTGTAGCTGGAATGGATTAATAGCAGCAAACTTGGGACCTGAGCTTTGTTCTTTATTTTTTTTGGGGGGGGGGGGTCCGGTTGTGGGGCCTGAACTCTGGGCCTGGGCGCTGTCCCTCAGCTCTTCAGCTCCAGGCTAGCGCTCTACCACTTGAGCCACAGCGCCACTTCCGGCTTTTTTCTTTTTGCTTATGTGGTGCTGAGGAATCGAACCCAGGGCCTCATGCATGCAAGGCAAGCGCTCAACCACTGAGCCACCTTCCCAGCTCCTTGAGCTTTGTTCTGTTTTGCTATTGTGTAATGCTGAACACTGATAACTTGTTGCATCATCAGTCTTTTATTCAGTAATTATATGTCTGTACTTCTATCTGGTGTCTGTTTGTTCTCCAAAATGGAAAAATGTGTTGTCCAGTGCAGAAACATGTCCTTCCTTCTTTCACAACCACTTGCCTGGGCATCCTAGGCCATGACAGGTCCTGGGGAGATACTGGTAAGCAAAGCTCACATGGTTCAAGTTTCAATTCAGGCTGCCATAACATTATACCACAAACTGGGTGGCTGAACAACAGATTTTGCTTTCTCTAGCGGCTGGAAACTTCAAAGTTAAGGTGCCAGTCAATTTGATTCCTGGGGAGGGATCCTTTCCTACTTCTGATGACTGTCTTTCCTGTGTTCTTACACTGCCTTTCTTCAGGGCTTAGGGTGGCACTGAGTGTACACAGGGGACATTAAGTGCCCACTGTATACCTAGAGCGTTGTCAGGTGCCAGAAATAGCTATGCAGGGCCTGCCTCCAGGTAGCTTAACATAAAAATCTCAACAGTAAACTAGAATAGAATAGGTTGCCCCTGTGTATGAAGTGTAGTCTTTCTAGTCAGACAGCCTTGGTTTGACAGTTTCTTGGATTTGTTAGCTTAGCCTCTCCTAAGTTTTTTGTGTCTGTGAAATGGAAATAATGATTTTGTTGTTGTTATGATGAAATGCTGGTAGACAGATTGCATTAAACATAAAAATATGGAAGGCTTCAGTATTTTCACAATAAAAAAAAATATATATATATGGAAGGCTTTAATGGCAATAGGTACAGGATTCTCCAGAGACCATCACACAAAGCAGATGCTAATGCCAGTCCTGCTTCCCAGGTCTCAAGGTTCCTCTAGGGACATCCTGCCAGTGACATGCTCACATCAAGGGAAACTTCAGCAGCCATCCCATTCTGTTCTTAGACTCATGGCAAGGTTAATACTTTGCAACCTTCCCTTAGCATTCTTTAGCTCAGGCAGTGTGCCTGCCTTCACCACCTACCATGTTCTTGTGTATACTCTTGAGACCTCTTGGAGCCAAGGAAAAGTTCTCAGGAAAGACCCTTGGGGTACTTGGGCACCAGTCCCACCTGAGGTAGTGCTGAGGAGGTAGGAGGGGGATTACCCTGTGTTAGTGCCTGTTATTTTAGTAGTTAATGAGGTAAAGATTTTAGAATTTTGCTTATTAGTACAAAGTTACCACTAAGTGAATGTATTAATGCCTTTCATACAACATTGCATTATTAATTAAACTCAGGACCATCCTCCATGAAATAAAACTTTATAAATTAAACATTAGAAATAAAATGATTTCAAGATCATCTTGTTTTCTAAATATGGTTAGGTAACATGCTTATGTAACCAAACATTCTCTTCTAAATGAGAAAATCACCATAGTGAATCTCAGTTGGCATCTTTATTTTCCACAAAAGTAAATGAATGTTACCATTTAAGCCCTATTCTCTAATCAAAATACAAAACGAATACAAAAAATGAAATTCATTTTGCTGATCTTGTTTGGAATCTCAATGTATGTTCTTTGTGCTGTTAGTCACATTTCAATATTAAAGGTCTAAGATTCTTAAAATAATGGCCAGCTAGTTTCTACTACTTAATGTTTGCTACCCATAGGTTACCTAAATGGGAGATGTTTTGTTGTTGATGTTGTTTTGTTATTTCAAAGTACATTTTTGTCTTCATAAAACAAATTGATACAGAGACTTACTCCCATTAAATCAAGAGTGCTGGTCCTTGGTTGCAGGTGCTGTTTGGCACAGCTGACGGGCAGGTGATTGTCATGGACTGCCACGGCAGGATGCTGGCCCACGTCCTGCTGCATGAGTCTGACGGCATCCTCAGCATGTCCTGGAACTACCCCATCTTCCTGGTGGAAGACAGCAGCGAAAGTGACACAGACTCTGATGACTACTCTCCTCCCCAAGGTAGCTGGCTCCCTGGCCCCTCACTTTGGCCATTTAACAGAAGAGAATGTAGGAATACTGAGGGAGAGTGGATCAATTTAGAGAAGGGAGGGTAAAGACCTGCCATATACACACCTCTAATTTATTGGGAAGCTTCTTTTTCTTTTCTTTCATTTTTTTTTTTTTTTGGTTTGTCGTGGGGCTTGAACTCTGGTAGGCCTAGATGCTGTCCCTCAGCTCTTCAGCTCAAGGTGAGTGCTCTACCACTTGAACCACAGTGCCACTTCCAGTTTCCTGGAGGTGTATTGAAGATAAGAGTCTCATGGATTTTTTCCTGCCTGAGCTGGCTTCGAACCACGATCCTCAGGTCTCAGCCTCCTGAGTAGCTAGGAATACAGGCATGAGCCCACTGGTGCCTGTCTGGGAAGAGTTCTTTTAAACTAAAATGCCAAACAGGTCTGGCATTTTCTTTCTTGATATAACTGTCTCCTCTCTGCCATCTCTTTGTCAAGATCACTGATGAAGTAGACTATACTCCATGGTTTTAGGTTTTTCTAGATAGAAAATCAGATACATGGCTGGTCCTGTATCCCTCAGGTGTTTTAGGCTTAGCTACTTAGCAAGAATAAAAATTCTGTGCTTAATATGTGGTATAGCCAAATGCCTAGTGGTTCTAAAACCTGTAACTTTAGTTGCATCAAAAAAGGATAAAGTCTTCTAAAGGTCAGCCCCTGGAACTCTGGTATTCCATGCCTTTGTGCTCCTGATTTCAGGCAGAAGTGCTTCCCCTTCTCAGTCAAAAAGCCCTAGTAGCAGACTCTCTGTAAACCTCACTGTGAGGTAGGGGTGGCTTAGATTCTATCCTTTTTTACCCCTAACAGTGTGTGTTGTATCCCTCAAATGAGTAAGAAGACACCTTCTCCCTTGCCTCCCCCCCAGAAAAGTGGAAGTCTCTGATGTTATGTTGACCTTCATCAGAGCCAGCACTGGGCCTGCACTGGGCAACAATCTTCCATCCTCTGCACCTACCTTTTTTTAATGTATAATTAAGAATATATTTCAGTTTGGGATAAGTACTATATTTATTGAGCCAAAAACTATATAATAAAATGATTTTTTGAAATCTAACTACAAATGTATAATATAGTAAATAAGTAATTGCTGTAAGATCTAAATGACATTAACAAATATATACATAGAACAAATATATGTTATCTGAGATAATTAATCTCATGGATAAGAAGTTAAAATATACTTCTAGTGTATGGCTAAATTATGAGCAACCAGAGATTAGAGATGTAATCACCCAGAGACACAGACTGTAATCTGTGAAGTCAAGGGAGGAAAAGTATACAGAAGAGCAGATTTCCAGTCTGCTGAAGAATTTCTTTTTCATCATTGAAATTTAACTTCAAAGAATGACTAATACACACACACATACACATATAAATACATTCATATAAACAAATAGTGCCCCTAATATAAAAGACCTGCTGTTTTTTGTTTTTTAAGTAAAGATATATTATGAAATGGTAGAGGAGAATGGCTCCTTGATTAGGAATCACTGCTGCAAACTGCATCTTAGTCAAACAGATGTGTACAAATTGCTATGTGCTCTTGAGTGAAGGCTGGGCAATTCCTTGTTGTTGTTGTTGTTTGTTTTTGTCTTTTGTTTGCTTTGTTTTCCATTCTAGGGTGTGTCACCCTGTGAAGGGCTGGTGCAAGGGACGATGTGGAAGTGCCCCCACCCCCATCAGTGTCTGCCTTCCCTGGCACTTGTCTTTTCCCTCTTGTCACAGAGACAGATGATACTCTTGGCTTTTTGATGACATGAGCAAAAAAGGTGTATACACTGTACACACACTTTCTCTACATGTGTGTATAGAAGGCCTGTGTTTTATATATGAAACAAAAGGAAATTGGTTGAAGGGTTTCAGGATCACTTGCTATAGGAGGGAGAGTTCCTAGAGCCCATATATTCATTTGGGTAGTAACCATCCCTTTCTTAATAGGATGCTAGCCTCGAGAAGTATTGGCCATATTTCTACAATCTCATAGTAATAAAGTCCATGTCATAAAATGCACTTGGAAGTGTACACTTGTAATCCTACTCAGGAAGCTGAGATCTGATGATTGCAGTTCAGGCAGGAAAGTTAGTTAGAGTCTTGTCTCCCCAAACTACAAAAAAGCTAGAAGTAGAGCTGTTGCTCAAGAGGTAGAGCACTAGCCTTTAGTACAAAAGCTCAGAGACGACACTCCGGCCCAGAGTTCAAGCCCTATGACCGGAAAAAAAATGCACTTGGAATATTTAAAAACAGAACTCCTATATTGTAGGTTGAATCTAGATTTGCTCATTCTGTTTTATTATCAAAAGAAACGGAGTTAGTCTAAGGCGGCAGTTGGCCCCTGATGCTCCTCCTCTGACCAGTTGCTCTTCTCAGTACAGTGGGGCACTTCAGAGGTGACAGGCATTCACCTGTCAGAGCCACCGACATTCTCCTTGGTATGTCCCATGGAATTCAGTACAATGAAGTGTCTTAGAGTGATGTGAAGGAGAGCAACACTAGCGTTCTCCGTGAAGGTAGATGTGGCTACTGGAGGTGTGCGCAGCATGGCTGTGACACCTACAGAACCTCTGGTGAGCCCCAGTCCCCTGGGTGTGCAGAGGACTTTGATGTTACCACATGAAAGAGTTGGTCGCTGACCTATCACACACAAGTGCTTCTGGTGCTCATCAGGCTGGCTGTGCACTACGGATGTAGCAAGGGCTTTATGTGCCTCAACATTCTCTAAATTTGCTCTCTTCTGGTAAAACTAATAGTAGCTACTGTGGCTGCTCATTGCCTGTACCACTCAGTAAAAGAGCAGTTAGTGTTCTATGCAGTGAAACAGAACTAAAACATTTTTCACTCTTCCCACCATCCTTTATGTTGCATGTCATTAAAGTAATTTGCATTTATACCTCATTAGAAACACATTGCACATAAGTTAATAAACTTAGCTCACAGATTCTCACCACCCTGTAGTTGCCTCTAGGGCTACATATTCCATATCTGCTCTCTCTGATGAAACTCTACTGGTGACCCATGTGTGTAACTCCTGAGTGGTGAAACACTGCTTCTTAGTGCAGTTGCTACACTGTCAAGCAACTTGAGTGGGGGGCAGGGGAGACAACAAACAAGTCTAGCTTTGGGCACTTACACTGAGTTGTTGTATGCTCATTGCCTGCTTCTCACTCAGCACTTGTATTTCCACAGATGGTCCTGCAGCGTACCCCATCCCGGTACAGAACATCAAGCCTCTGCTTACCATCAGCTTCACCTCGGGAGACATCAGCTTAATGAATAACTACGATGATTTGTCTCCCACTGTCATCCGCTCAGGGCTGAAAGGTACAAAACACTGCCATGTCCCAGCCCTGCAGATCAACCCTGTACACATCTGCCGTCCATCCTAATGCCATACACCAGTATCAATTGATTCTTGTCCTTGTGATAGACTCTTCTGGCTTGTGGTATCCAAAGCCCCTCTGCTTGCCTGATAAATCAGTACTTAGTCTTATCTAGAACAGGGTTCCTGACATACGTTCTTTTTTTGACCATGCTGAGGATTAAATTGAGGGCCTCATGCTTGCTAGGCAGGCGTTCTACCACTTGAGCCACACCGTCAGCCCCTGTGAAGCCCTCTCTGGCTTTTTACTGGCTAAGTGGAGATTAAGAATCTCTTGGGTTTATCTGTCCTGGACCAGCTTTGCAAATGTGATTCTCAGATCTCAGTCTCCTGAGTAGCTAGGATTTCAAGAGTGAGCCACCAGTACCCTGACTTGGTCCTGCCTTTATCTGCTTCCCTCTGATAGTAACTACCTAGAGTGGTTTGCATCTGGCTGGCACTATGGTGGCACGTTACTTGGACAAGAGCTGCTGCTACTCTTGAAGCAGTGGATAGTGTTCAAATCATCATTTATGGAGAGACATTTAGGGAGGCATATTCTGGGACTGATTATTGTATAATAAACTTACCTTGAAAACTTATGGAGAGGTTCCACAGTGCTCAGATGGATGTGAAGGATGGCAGTCAAGTACTACTGCCTTCCTGGCAGACATTTTGAAATGTTGTTATTGTAAGCAAAATTAATGCATAAAAATATTGAAAATGTTTTGAATTTTGCTTTTCATCAATGATGTGACTCTGATGGGTTCTTTAGGAATCTTGACTCAGGGTGGAGAGGTACAATGTAGAGAGATTTCAGAATCAATTTCCTATGCTGTCCCTAGTCTTTGATGTTACAGGGACTTACTATATTAGATCCAACTGTGCATCTAGTTACTGTTACTTAAAAGTAGCCATAGCTTAGACAGACATTGCCTTGTGCTCCTACCTGGTTTCTTTAGGAACTACAGATAGAAAAGAATGGGGTTCAGCTGGGCACTGGTGGCTCATGCCTATAATCCTAGCTATTCAGGAGGCTGAGATCTGAGGATCACAGCTCAAAGTTAGCTCACACAGGAAAGTCTATGGCACTCTTTATCTCCAGTTAACCACCAAAAAGCCAGAAATGGAGCTGTGGCTCAAATGGTAGAATGCTAGCATTGAACACAAAAGCCAAGGACAGTCAGTCAGTCCCCAGGCCCTGAGTTCAAGTCCCAGGATTGGAACCAGAGTGTGTGCATGGTGGGGGTGAATGAGGTCCAGATATGTAGCTGTTGGTTGTCAGTAACATATGGAACCTGTCTGAATATTCCACAAGCACTTAACTTTATTTTTAAACTGGAATATTTTTGCACTGAATTATACTCCCTCTTGGGTATCCACTCTGCTATTTTAGAGCTGTACTTGTAAGGAATGATTTAGCCCATAAACTATGGGACAAACCATGTAGTACCACAAATAGGCTTCGTTAGAAGCTGAGTACTTTTGTGCTGATGATAAACTTAAATTACTGTGCTGTTTTATGTCATTTTCTGAATATTTTAGGAATTAACATATAGGAATGGTTTTAGCATAAATTCCTTCATATATAGAGTAATCAAAAGTTTTGTTTTTGTTTGAAAATTGGAATTTTCAACTGGGCACTGGTGGCTCACACCTGTAATTCTAGCTACTCAGGAGGCTGAGATCTGAGGATTGCAGTTCAAAGCCAGCCCAGGCAGCAAAGTCTGTGAGACTTTTATCTCCAATAAACTACTCAGAAAAAGCTGGAAGTAGTGCTGTGGCTCAAGTGGTAGAGTGCTAAACTTGAGCACAAAGAGGCTCAGGGACAATGTCTAGGCCCTGAGTTCAAGCCTCAGGACCAGCAAAAGAGAGGGGGCGGAAGGGAGAGAGAGAGGAGAGAGAAATTTTATACCTTTGACCAAGTTTATTAATTTCTTGAGAACTTGGGGGCAGTGCCTAGGCACTGAGTTCAAGCCTCAGGACGAAATATAGGGAAGGGGAGAGAGAAGAAAGAGAGGAGGGAGAATGATTATCAGAGGGAGAGATGGGGTCTTGTTACACTTTTTGCCTAAACTGTCCTCAAACCTTGATCTTCTTAGCTCTACTTCCCAAATAGCTATGATTATAGATGTGAGCCACTGCACCTAGGTTTTAATAAGAAATATTGAGATGAATTGTTTTAATTGGCATTTGCTGTGATTCACAATTGGCCCATCCAGGTTCGTCATCCTTGTCTTTATTCACCATATTCTTTTCCGATGGGAGAGGAAGGGAAGGGAGATGAAAGAGGAAGGGAGAAGTGACATCTCTGCAATATGGTCATCTTGATTCAGGAATGCTCTTTAGTTTTGCACAGGAGGTAGAAGAACATCAGTGACTTCAAAATGCATTCAGAATCATTTCTATGTGTTAGAGGTGGCATTATGGTCATTTGTGACGTAGTAGAGCTCAGAGACTGCTGTACTGGGTCTGGCTCTGAAATACAGGTACTTGTTGCGGCAGAGTGCCTTCTGGAAATTTAGTTTGGCTTCTACAAAATGGACAGCTCAAGTCTAGATTTTAGACATTTCTGTATAAGCCTGATGATGGTTTTGGGGTTTTGAATAAGAAAAAGTACTAGGAATCTTATAGTACTAATAACTTTTTTCTACCAGCAGGAAGTGATTGTTCACAGTGGGATAAGCCAGACCATTTAATAGCCATTCGTTAGATAGTGGATAGCCTGTAGGTGGGCATTGAATTTCCAGTGAGAAATTTTCTCTCTCAATACTATCTGCCACCCAGCAGAATTATCTTTCTTCTTTAATAAACCCCTATATACATCATAATCCAGTGTCAAATAAAACCTAGTGCCCTCATACTTCATCTGTTCAGTGTTGCCAGACAGCAGATGAATAAACTTGGGCTTTTCTTTTCTTTTTTAGTATTTATAAACTGAGTTCTCTGTGGGTGAATCATCAGTCTCATTATCTTATTGCTTTTATAAAGTCCCCCAGTTTCATTGTGGAAATGCTAGTTATACAAGTATAAATTATCATGCTAACTTTTTTCTTAAAATGAAAAATCTCTGTACATAGTCCAGGCTGGTCTCAAACTCAAACCCTGTTTCAGTCTCCCAAGTAGCTGATACCTGGGATTTCAGTATATATTGTCATGCTAGCTTCAACATACCAGCTTTTCTCTGGTCTGGCATAATCAGGTTTCTACCTTATTTATTTTGGTTTTAGGAAAATTGCAAACCCTATCCATGTATTATATTGTCTACAAAGAAATAGGTCATTAGTCTCTAGGGAAAGAGAGGCTATTTTATATTTGCTTAGCATTTCTGTTTTTTTTTAAATTTTTATTTATTTTTTATTGTGAACATACTGTACAGAGGGGTTATAATTACATGGGCAAGATAATGAGTACATTTCTCATCAAGCATTGTAGCCTCCTCCTTTGTTTCCCTTTCCCATCCCTTCCCAGCCTCTCCCCCCACCCCCCCACCCAATCCTCCCCCCCACACACCAAAGTTGTAAAGTTCGTTTTCGACATGACAACTTGTACTTCTCATTGTTGCAATGGGTCCACCTGTATTCTTACTTAAATGACTTGTTTTTCCCCTTCCCCTCCACAAATTATACTGACATCAAATACAGTGAAAGCAGGGGTTATACTGTGTGGGAGGGACATACAAAGCAACAAAGAAATAATCTTATAAATAGCATTTCTGTTTTAAACTACTGAAATCATATGTGGCATGGCAGAGTGACAGGAGGGCTGAGTCCTTGTGCTGACTGTCTCTTCTATGTGGTTTTAGAGGTGGTGGCCCAGTGGTGCACGCAGGGAGACTTGCTAGCTGTCGCTGGGATGGAGCGGCAGGCCCAGCTCAGCGAGCTCCCCAACGGTCCTCTTTTGAAGAGTGCTATGGTCAAGTTCTACAATGTCCGAGGGGAGCACATCTTCACGCTGGACACACTTGTGCAGGTAAGGACACTTGGGAAATGCCACAGGCTAGTGTACATCTCGGTAAAACACCCTTTGTTGGTTATACTAAGGGGGTAGTTATTCATTGTAATTACCTTTGGCACCCTTTATTTTAATCTCTTTTGTTTCTTAATTGAATTGTGTGTAAACCAGGAGAAACAGGAAAGGAAGCAGTTTTTCCTTTAGCCAGAATGCCTGATTTCATTTCCCAGAAGTAAAATTCTGGATCACTTGGTAATTCTGTTTTTAATTCTTTTAATGACTTACTATACTTTTTTCCATGGCAGTTGTACCAGTACACATTACCGTTAACGTTGTTCTTGCCAGTGCTTATTACTTTCTGGAGTTTCCTTGGTAGTAGCTTGCTATTAGGTGTTCATTGTAATACTGAGGTGATATCTCATTGTGGTTCAGATTTGCATTTCCCTGATGATTAGTAATGGTGAACCTTTTACTGGCAATTTGTATGACTTTAGAGAAATTTCTGTTCAAGTCACTTGCCCTTTTTTTTCTTGACATGTCTTTTGGTTGTTGAATTGTAGAATTTAAATACATCTTTTAATGCAATATATTCTTGGGCAAATAAATACATTTGTTCACTCATTTGTCCAAACAAAACTTGTCCATCAAAAACTTGGAGAGGCTACTCAAAATATTTGATGTCCAGCACTGAGCTTTAAGTACAGTATTTAGGAGGTAAAGAAGGAAGACAAAATTCACACCTCTCAGGAGCTTGGAAGTCAGATAAGGCCGATAAATAAATAATTACACACAAATACATTAGATTTATATACCAGGATTGTGGTGATTTGGAGAAGAGGACTCAGACTGAGACTTGGGTTTTATGAGCAGTTTTCTGGGTCTTCCCAGTCCTTCCTCTTATTAGCAATCTACCACTGATATAGCTCTATAATAGGAGTAGTGATTTCTTATTAGCAATCATCCACTCCTATAGCTCTATAATAATCTGGAATGTAGAAGAGAGACCTATATAGATCCAGTTGCTTACTTGACACACCTCTCAGTCTTGGCATAAAAACTGCACAGCAACCTGTTCAGCCCTCAGGATATTCTACCTTTCAGAAAAGTTCTTCTTTGGGTTATGGCCCGATAATGTATCATAGGTGACCATTATCTCACTCTTTGTCTATGGACGCATTCCTTTGCTCTAGAAGCTGAGATCTACTGGAGTGGAGGAACAGAAACAGGTTGCCAGGGGGGTGGTCTCCTGAGCTTTTAGCTGTTTGGCTGGTAAGAAAGCTTTTACCTGTTTGAAAGGCAGTTTGCCCTCAGTCACAGGATGATTACTGGTGTATCTTGTTTTTCCTGGAGCCCAAGGTGATTGCTCAGTGACTGCAGCAGAGATCAGATCAAAGAGTACAGACACTAAGCTGGAACACTTAATTTATGAGCCCAGCAAAAGCATTTTTGAAGTTGCCTCTTTCATTTTCCTTTCTTCCTGCTTCTCCTTTGCTTTCTCCTCTTTTTGTTAGTTACGTTATTTTTTGTGTCTCTGTGTGTTTTCCTATTCATTTCTCTTCATTTGTATTCCCCCTCCACCCCACATGACAACATTAGCCAGACTTCACTACAACTCACCCTACTCCTGTAACTTTTCCTATTGGGCTTAGCCACCGTTCTTTTCTTCTCTATATTAAAAGAAAAAAGCAAAACAAAAAACCCTAGTTGATATCTTCAGGTAACCACCCTGGTTAACCAAGATCTTCCTAAAGCGTAGAGACATCTGTACTTCTATATATATCTAAAATTGGAGCAATAGAGATGACTCGTCTTCATTGCTGGTCTTCATACCTCAAACACAAAGCTCTGGTTTACCACCTGCAATAAAGGCGATTGCCAAGCTTACTTACCCTAAGTGGAGAAGAGTTCTGCACACAGTGTTCCAAGCATTGGAATTGACTGTTTGACAAGAAAGACCCACTTCTTTAATATAATAGCAGGAAAATACACCTTAGCTCCACCATTTACCCAGTCTTGAGTAGTCTATGAGTTCAATAACTAAAAGGACATAGGATAGTGAAATCACCAGGTCTTCATTCCAGATGCACAAATCCCACTAAAAATCACAAGTTTATAAACAATCAAGACAACATGTTTCCCTTAAAAGCCAACAACTGCCAGGCACCAGTGGCTCATGCCTGTAATCCTAGTTACTTAGGAGGCTGAGATCTGAGGATTGCGGTTCAAAGTCAGCCCGGGCAGGAAAGTCTGTGAAGCTCTTATCTCCAAAAAACACCAGAAAACTGGAAGTGGCATGGTGGTAGAGCTCAAGTGGTAGAGTGCTAGCCTTGAGCTGAAATGCTGAGGGACAGTGCCCAGGTCCAGAGTTCAAGCCTCATGACTGACCAAAAAAAAAGAAAGAAAGAAAGAAAGAAAGAAAGCCAATAACTCCACAATAAAGGACTTAAGTGATAATGAAGAGGAGGAAGAAAGCTCAAATGCAATAAAACAATGTCAAGAAATAAAAGAAGTAATGTTTAAACAGCTAAGCCAATTCAAAGAGGATTCAAACAAACAGCCAGAGAACGCAAGCAAACAGTTGAATAAAATAGAGAAAGCAATACAGGGGTGAAAGGGGAAATCAACAGATATAGACATCTTGGGGGAAAAAAAATCAAAGTGAAGTCCTGGAAATGAAGAGCTCAGTGGCCTAAATAAAAAACCTCATTTGAAAGTCTAGTGAATAGAACAGTTTCTTGTCTTATTTTTCTTCAGCTAGAGACCATGTTTTCTCAATTTTCTAACCTTCACTATGCCTAAAATATATGGTAAAGGCTTGATGGTCGTAATTATTAGAAATGTTCTCATTTTAATTGTTTGGGCTCAAGGGTGAAAAGATAGCACCATAATGTCTCAGCATTTTAATTAATTACTGATTATTTTTATTGAAGGGTCTTTTCCAACCATTGAAAAGCATGTCTTAATATAATAAAGTTAAATAATGATCCTTAGTAAATCAAGTACAGTATTAATTACTTATAGTACCAGCTTAACTCTTTAGTAATGATAAAATGTCATATGATCTGTGCCTTACTATTGAAGGAGTCCAAAGGCAGAGACATTTAATAGCAAGAAAGATTTTAGGCTATTGCTTATGAAAAGTACTCAGTGCAATTCAGATTTTATTTACAAGTTAATTAGATTGTAGCTTGTTGCATACAAAGCTGCTGGTTGGAACAATATATGACAACTTTAACTTGATCTTGTGATTCACTGATGACAGCAGTGACTACAGCTCTTACAAGATGCATACTGTAATTCATTCCCCTTTCTTTACTGCATTTGTCTTTTACAATTCTGTAATTTAGTTCATAAGCTGTTATGTGTGACCATCCATGCAAGCTGTATATTTGATAATATGGTGACAGATTTTTAGACTTAGCACTACTGACTGAGTTTGCAGACTTCAGTAATTTGGGCCTGATTTCTTTAATGAACTTCTGGCATTAGAAGCAAGTTGGGGATTACTCTGTATTCTAAAAAGTTTAGTTGCTTGTATAAGAGATTTGGTAGAAAGAGAAGGAAGAAAATAGAGATAGAAAACAGGAAAATTAAATAAGAGATTATATTTATGATTATAGGCTTTTATACTCCTGAAGGAGAATCCCATAGCAAACAATTATAATAACCTTTTTATAGAAGAGTCACTTTGCCTGCCCCTGGGGGCTTCCATGGTTGTGCATTTTCTTTTTTTTTCTTTTTTTTTGGTCCGGTCGTGGGGCTTGAACTCTGGGCCTGGGCGCTGTCCCTCAGCTCTTCAGCTCAAGGCTAGCGCTCTACCCCTTGAGCCACAGCGCCACTTACAGCTTTTTCTTTTTTGCTTATGTGGTGCTGAAGAATCGACCCAGGGCCTCTGGCATGCAAGGCAAGCACTCTACCACTGAGCCACCTTCCCAGCCCAGTTGTGCATTTTCTATGTTGTAAATGTTGTGATTGTTACTTGTTTATGGAGTACTGTGGGTCATGTGCTCCAATAACTACCTGGTAAACCTGAGGTCCTGAGCGCACACTGTTGTGTTGCCAAAGCATAAGCAAGCAGAAAACTCAAAACCAACCAAACAAGGAAAAAAAAAACCAGAACCTGAGATTTCTGGCTGGGGTGTGCCTAGAGTAGTAGAACACCTGCTAGCAAACATGAAATCTTGAGTTCAAACCCCAGTACTGAAAAAAGGGAAAAAAAAAAAAAAAGAATTCTTGAGGGGCTGGGAAGGTGGCTCAGGAGTGCTTGCCTTGCATGCCTGAGGCCCTGGGTTCGATTCCTCAGCACCACATAAGCAAAAAGGAAAAAGCCGGAAGTGGCACTGTGGCTCAAGTGGTAGAGCGCTAGCCTTGAGCTGAAGAGCTGAGGGACAGCTCCCAGGCCCAGAGTTCAGGCCCCACGACCGGACCCAAAAAAAAAAAAAAAAAGAATTCTTGAGATTTGAGGCTAGAACATGGATCAAGTAGCACAATGCTTGGACTTCCTGGATTTAACCTGAGGCTTGGCTGGATGAATCCTGAACTAGTTTACTTAATTGGTGGCCCAGTCATTATAATTTCATACCCAAAGCTGTCCATTGTGTACAGCTCTGTTCAATGTACAGTGTACAATGTATAGTGTACATTTATGCATAGTAATTTATGTTTGTAGTCCTAGTTTAGCTACTCAGGAGGCTGAAATCAGGAGGATCATGGTTCAAGGCCAGACCAGGCAAACTATTTATATGATTTCCCTTCTCAACCATCTCAGAGAGGTGTGTGCCTGTCATCCCAGCTATATAGGAACTATAAGTAGGTGTTGATGGCTCATGCTTGTAATACTAACTACTTGGGAGGATCATATCTGGGGGCCAGCCAGGCAAAAATTTCACAGGATCACATTTCTACCAATAAAAAGGATGAGCATGGTAAGCTGTGCTTATCAACCCAGCTACACAAGAAACAAATAGGACTGTGGTCCAGGTGAGCCCAAGCAAATGCAATGGTTGCTTCACTCGAGAGTCACAGAACATTTGCTAGGCTTGTGTCCAAACTATCTCCTTGAAGTAGCTGCCTTAGTCCCCTATTTGCAGGGGACTTTTAACCTACCCTTCTTCGTTTCATAGTATTTTGCTACCTTGTATAATCAGGTAGTCATTGTCAAAGACATTAAGATACTTATTTCCCTCCTATCTCAGAAGGTAAACGGCATGGGAGCAGACATTTCTTATTAAACATCAATCCCTTGATACTTAGAATGGCTCATTTTATACACTGCATAAATATATAAATTGACTAATCAACAGTACAATAGATGAATAAATGGGTGGATTGTCACAGGCCCTGCACAATGCACTAGCAGGAAATGAGGCACTACAGTAAGGAGCTGAAAGCCACCTCTCGCTGATCATGGACTGTCCTGGGGACATGAGGAAGAGCGAACTACTCCTTCCAGGGTTCAACGTGGACCAAGCAGAGAGAAAGCTACTGAGAGGAACGACTTGACTCCATTAACCACACACCCTCAAACTGCCATTAAGAACAGATTCTTCTCCATCCTGAGTAATTGCTCTCTGATGAAAAGACTAATCACAGAAGCACCAGATTTCCGCTATACTCCCTGAAGTGCTGCTCATTTTCTTACCCTTTTATATCAGATTTATATGTGCAAAATATGTACACCTCTCTATGTAAATTAAGTTTGAATAGTTTGAACTTTGCAATTCTAGCTCTCGCTTCTAAAAGTAGTAATTTTGTGTGATTTGAAAAAGAGATTAAGTCCACAATCTTATACCTGAGTTTTCCTTAGCAGATAGCAGCTTTTCAGTTAACAATTGGTGATAATCAATGCATGTGCCGAGGCTTACTGGCTTTGAACATGAACTTCAGCAATTCATCCCCCAATAGGTAGAAATAGCTCTGCTGGAAGGATATTCTGTATTGTGAGCAGACAGAAGGACTCATGTTCTGCTAGCGTGGCTGAGCACAGAGTGATGGAAATCCATGTCTGTGGGTCTGCCAAGTCAAGACTTACTTTTACTGAATTCCTCTCACAATGCCATGACATATACATTCTGGTTCCTTCCAAAACTCTAGGATATTTGTAGCTATGGACTTTGGGTTAAGTACCAAAGAGCAGCACAGGAAATCTTATTGTCAAAAAAGTGACATGTACAGATACTTTCTGTGGACTTAACAAGATTTAGAGAATCCTGAAAAGTCATGACTTACTAAATGATCATCATAATAACTAATTTTCCCCACATCAACAGCACCTCAAAATCTTCAGAGAAGTGTGACAACTTTTATTGTCTGTAAAATTCCTCCTAATTTTTTTCTAATACAGCACTAAAATTTTTATGGTGAAACTATAGCATATATTTTACTACTTTTTCATGTTGTATAGAATATATACTATGAAACTAATTCAAATTAATATATTCCCCTCCCACTGCCACTGGCTTGGACAAGTAAATATCACTGTACCCAAATTAATGTGTAGATACTTGTTCATATTTTTGTCCTCTTTCTTAGAAGGAATTTTTTTAATCTTGCTCCAGATAATAATTTCTTTGAGACTATAGATACCACAAGCTAAATAATTTCAGCTTTTCCCCTTGGGTTCTGGTTTTCAATATTCTTTCATGTCTTTTCACTCCAATTTGGTTGATAATTCTCTTTTGTAATTATCTCATGCACAGTTTAGTGTATAGCCATTTTTCCTTGCCATTCAGACATGTGCTCCTACTGCTGTTTCCTGTTCACCTACTGATGATACTACCTGTAACTAAGAACTAGCCTCTGAGCCAGTGTTTCTCAGATGTTAAGATGGAATAATCTGTGTGATAGACAGAACTGTATGAGGTCATGTATATGTGCACTTAATGTGCCACTGGAAATATAGTGAGTTTTGAAGATGTGATTATTCTGTTATTATGAACAGTGAGTGTTTGAGGCTTTTTCTTCAGTTTCAAAGTCTGTATTAGTGGTATAAATTCTTAGTACAAAGATAATAGATACATCCTTATCATAATTTTATAAAACATGTAATCTACTGTTTCAAAGAGACAGTTTATGAAAAGCAGAATGAGGGGGAGGAACAAACCATGAGGATGGCTATTGTAGTTGAATGAGGTGGTATACATATTACCGTGCATGAGACCAACGTTTGATCCAAAGTACCAGCCAAAAAACAAAGATGAAGCATGATTTGGGTGCTAATAGAACCTCTGTTTTCATCTGTGATTACAGAGCTTGATTATACCAGAAAAAAATGTATTTTTCTATATGTTGGTCTTCAGCAGTGATTCTGCCTTGCTGTGAATTAGTAGGTTTCTTCTTTAAGGTCTACCTTTAGAGGGAGATCATCTCATGTAGAGCATGAGATGTGCATGGAAATGCTCCAGAAGGTCCTGACTTAAGTTCCAGGCTCCACTGTTAATAAAATCATGATCTTCCATAGTGGGGAAGCTATGGTCATCACCCTGTTGTTGCCTTGCCTGGCAGGGAGAAATGCAGCCTTGCATTTTGCTTTGAAGTTGAAACCAGGATTAACTGACCCTAGAAGCTAATTTAAGAAAGTGTCTTCATGTGTTCCTTTTATCTTGATGCCTGTCATTAAAGTGTTGTGACAGTTCTGTTCCTGTCATTCATATTAAAGAGCTGGCATGGCCACTTCTGCTCTCTGAAAACAGTACTCCCCACTCCCAAGACCTCATTGTATTTGTCCTCCATCTGTTTGGGTTAGGATGAACAAATCCCTCACTGCTTCTCCATTACTGCCCTCTACTTTTTTCTTCCTTGCTTGGATGGCACTCTTGAGTTTTGAGGGGTTTGGAGGGGGGGGGATCCCCAGTGTAAGAAGATCTCAACATGCATATTTGGATTTCCGCCTACCTTTTCACAGAACATGATGACAACCAACTCTCTGGTGAGGTCACCACAGAAGCCCTACTCCCCCAACCTCACAAAGCTTTTGCTTACTTCCCCTAGCTCCAATCATGGCTGAGAACAATAATGAGTTAATACCTGGGTTGTAGCCAGGCTCTGGTGGCTCATACCTGTAATCCTAGCTACCCAGGAGGCTCAGATATGAGGATTATGGTTCAAAGCCTGCCCAGGCAGGAAAGTCCATGAGACTCATACCTCCAATTAACCATCAAAAATCCAGAAGTGAAGGGCTGGGAATGTGTCTCAGTGGTAGAGCGCTTCCCTTGCATGCCTGAGGCTCTGGGTTCGATTCCTCAGCACCACATAAGCAAAAGGAAAAAAGCCGGAAGTGGCGCAGTGGCTCAAGTGGTAGAGTGCTAGCTTTGAGCTGAAGAGCTGAGGGATAGCACCCAGGCCCAGAGTTCAAGCCCCAAGACCAACAAAAAAAGAAAGGATGTGGGGTAAGGGAGAATGATAGATGGGATAAGTTTGTTAGGATACATGTATACATGTATGGAATTTCAAAATGAAAACTCCCTGAACTGTTAATTCACTTTATATTGCCGAGACAAATATGCATTCTTTATCTTTGTAAACAAGAACAAAGCTTAAGCACTATCTTTATTTTGCATCCCTGCAGCGCCCTATCATTTCCATATGCTGGGGCCACCGCGACTCACGGCTGCTGATGGCATCAGGACCAGCCCTGTATGTGGTGCGTGTGGAGCACAGAGTGTCCAGCCTGCAGCTGTTGTGCCAGCAGGCCATTGCTAGTAACCTGCGAGAAGACAAGGATGTTAGCAAGCTGAACCTACCCCCCCGCCTCTGCTCCTACCTCTCTACTGCCTTCATCCCCACCATCAAGGTAAAGAGCCCTCACCCTTCCTATGTTTCTTTCCTTGCCTGTCTGCCACAGACATCAGAGAGATTGGAGGATAGGGAGTTTCAGAGAAAGGACAAAGGGGCTCCTCTGCTCCTCTCCCAAAGTGGTGGGGACAGCCACTCTACCAGAGTGCTTGCGGATGGCCACTTATGGCTAGACAGAGCCCCACACGTTCTTTAAGCCTTCGACCCACTCTGAGCATTCCCATTAGTGTCTGAGTGAAATTTGCTTCACTGTGGCCAGTTTTATTCTAGGTTTTCATCCTGATGATCAAAAAAAGAGTACACATTTGTTTAGGGCTTCCTATATACTGGCTATTATACCATGTACTTATTACAAACCCAGTTGGTTCAATCTTGACTTCTTGGCAAATGCTGACATTATTCTCATGTGATAAAGCAGGAAAGCAAGTTGGTAGAAGTAACTTATTCTATAGTAACTAGTTGGGAGACCCATTCCAATACTCGGGCCTGCTCTTGTCCTCTCCATAAGAAGAAGCAAGCTGCTCACAGTGTAGCTACAAGTCACCGATTTTTTTTTTTAGCCAGTCCTGGAGCTGAATTCAGTAATTCAGGACCTGGGCACTGTCCCTGAGGACCTTTTGCTCAAGATTAGCACTCTACTGCTTGAGCCACAGATCCACTTCACCTTTTTTGGAGTTTATTAGAGATAAGAGTCCCACAGACTTTCCTGCCTAGGCTTGCTTTAAGCCATGATCCTCAGATCTCAGTCTCCTGAGTAGGTAGGATTGTATGTGAGCCACCAGCACCTGGCGCAAGCCATCTTTGACTGTATATAACTCCAGGAACTGCCTGCTAGTGATGAGAGTATAGAGAACAGACCTGCCAGTTACTGCCCTGGGTTGGGTTTCCCTTTAACCTCAGTCCTTCCTCACCCTAAGTCCTTTTCTGTACTCTGTCCCTTCTTTTTAAGTATCAAAAGTGTTTGTTGATTGTCTCCTAATATATCAGAGTTTTAGTATACCAGCTGATTTTTTTTTCTAAATTGCCTCACAGTATTGATTCCACATCAGCAATTCTCAATCCTGGTATATTATGTTGTAGTAGAGAAAAATAGATGCCCAGACCACCCAGAGATTGTACTTCAATCTTGTAAAGTGGGATCTGGCTTAGACATTATTTAAAAGCATCCAGTTGTGAGCAGGGTTTCATACTATATAGTTAAGCCTGCCAAGATAGTAGCCTCTGTTCTGTCAAAGTGATAGCGATTTTGTACAACCAGCCTGTTCTATGCCCTCTATTTCTCTATATGTATCTCTGGAGTCCCAGCTTTGCCTTTTCTGCCCATATCCTACCTCTAGCCCCCAATTCCAGACCCCAACAACATGCGAGACTTTGTCAGCTATCCTTCAGCGGGCAATGAGCGTCTGCACTGCACCATGAAGCGCACTGAGGATGACCCAGAAGTGGGCGGCCCATGCTACACACTTTATCTAGAGTACCTGGGTGGGCTTGTGCCCATCCTTAAGGGGCGGCGCATCAGCAAGCTGCGGCCAGAGTTTGTCATCATGGACCCGCGAACAGACAGCAAATCAGGTAGAGTCCATGCTGGAGGGACTGATATCTTGTTCTTATATGGTTGTGGGAAATCTAAAGATTTGCCTGTTTATGAAATGGGAGACTGTGGTAGCTAACATAGAATATTGCTTAAGCAATAAAGCACAAGGCATCAGCTAAGTAGGGCTGGCAAACATTTAACTTCCAAAGGAAAGCTGCATAGTAAAGACCTGATCTGATAGAATTGGTAATCTTATAAGAAGAGGAAGAGGGCTGGAGCTGAGCATGGCAGAGAGGTCTGTAATCCCAGAGAGTCCTGCCCTGAAAAAAACGCAAGACCCTATTTTAAGTAATAAACCAGCCAGCCACTGCTAGGTCAAGCTTATAATCCAAGCTGCTCAGGCTGAGGTCTGAAGATTGTGGATCAAAGCTAACTCATGTAAAAATCTGGAAGTGGAGCTGTGGCTCAAGTAATAGAGCACTAGCCTTAAGCAAATAAACTGATGGACAGTGCCCAGCACCTGAATTCCAGCCTAAACATAGGCATTAAATAAATAAACAAAACCAGAAGGGGATATGCCTCAACTGGTAGAGGTAAGGTCCTGAGGTCAAATCTCAATACTACCAAGAAAAGAAGATATTAGAAGAAAATGTCCATATTGTTGAAAACATAGATAAAATGTGGCAAAGAATTTGGCTGAACTATGTTCTGATATTGTGTGGAAGAGAGAATATAATGTCAAGAGATCAAATTGAATATTTAAAAATATTTTTAAAGCCGGGTGCCGGTGGCTCATGCCTGTAATCCTAGCTACTCAGGAGGCTGAGATCTGAGGATCACAGTTCAAAGCCAGCCTAGGCAGGAAACTCCGTGAAACTCTTATCTCCAATAAACCACTTGAAAACCAGAAGTGGCGCTGTGGCTCAAGTGGTAGAGTGCTCGCCTCGAGCTGAAGAGCACAGGGACAGCGCCCAAGCCCAGAGTTCAAGCCCTGTGACCGACCAAAAAAAAAAAATATTTTTAATAAAGCAAAACGTTGACAAAGTGTCTTGGTTCCCCTAATTACAAAAGGAAGGAAATGGGGCCAGTGCTGATGGCTCACATCTGTAATCCTAGCTACTCAGCAGGCTGAAATTTGAAGCCAGCCTGGGCAGCAAAGTCCATGAGACTCTTCACTTAACCACCAAAAAAAGTAGAAATGCAGCTGTGGTTCAAGTGGTAGAATGCTAGCCTTGAACAAAAAAGCTCAGGAACAGTGCTCAGGCCCAGAGTTCAAGCCTCAGAACTGGCAAAAAAGCAAGAGGGGGGGAAGGAAAGAAGGAAGGAAGAGAAGGAGGGAGGGGGGGAGGGAGGGAGGAAGGGAAGCAGGGAGGGAGGCAGGGAGGGAGGCGGGAGGGGAAGGAAAGAAAAGAAAAGAAAATGAAGGAGTTGCTAACCAGAAAGAATCCAAAATGTGTAGATTGAAGTCTCAGTATGTCAATATTGCAAGACATAGGAAAACACATTCTGAAGAGAACACTGCAGATGTGACTGGACTGTGTCATTGAAGGAGTTTTATGAAATTACCCAGAAGAAACATCCTTTGAAGTAGCAGGAAGCTGGTTTGTCCCTAGAGAAGTCCTGTTCATAGACATTCATGTCCATGTGCTCAGAAACTCTGAGGTGTACTAACAAACCCATTATTTAAAATGCCAAAAGCCATCTTAAATGGTGAAATCACTCACATTCTCTGAATTATTTTATTGTGATTGAATGAATCAACTTTTTTATTAGAGGTTTGCAAGGATCTTGATGCCTTGAGAGAATGAAGTTTTAGTCAGCAAAACAAAGGAAATCTGAAAAATGAGATACTCACATTGAGGGTAGACTTGGGGCAGGACTTTGGGGATTGAGAGAGTTAGGAAATGATGGCAAGGAGGGCAAAAAGAAACAAGAGGAGATTTCCGGAAGATCACTGTTGTCTACCTTGCAGTATCTGCACTCTCTGCACATCCTGTTATCTTCTGCCTTGGGCCTTCTAATCTTCCTCCTAATTAGCCAGTTGGCAAAGTTCATACAAAATACCCACAGAACAACCTAGAGTTAATACTGAAAGTTCCAACCCCACAGTGTTCTCTTAAACAGTGGCACCAGGTGCAATTGCCAGGCCCCCAGGCCAGCCTCTGACAATTCCAGTGGCATACCAGAAGAACTGCTAGGATACCTTGCACAGACCCAGCTGTCAGGACTGTAGTACCAGCAGGCCTGGACCAACCATGGCCCTCCCAAGTCAGAAGCAGCAAGCCTTCCCTCAGCTGTTCCCAGCTGCCTGAAAGCTATACAAGTACAAATGGAACCTGTGTGTCATGAAGCACAACAGAAAGCCTTTTTTTGTGTTAGGATTTGTTATAGCAAAAAGTGTACAAGGGCTGGGAAGGTGGCTCAGTGGTAGAGTGCTTGCCTTGCATACCTGAGGCCCTGGGTTCGATTCCTCAGCACCACATAAGCAGAAAAAGCCAGAAGTGGCATTGTGGCCCAAGTGGTAGAGCGCAAGCCTTGAGCTGAAGAGCTGAGGGACAGCGCCCAGGCCCAGAGTTCAGGCTCCACGACCGGACCCCCCCCCCCCCAAAAAAAAAGTGCACTATTTTTTACATTCCTGTAATCAGTAAGATTTGCTATTTTGACAACACTAGATGAAATTGCCAACTTTCGTTTAGAAAATAGCATGAAAACATAAAAGAAAAAATATTACTGAGCTCCTATTTTAACTTCTAAAGTTAAAATGATTGACTATAAAGTTAGTCTGTCCTTTAATTTATAGCAGTGACTGTTCTTAGAGTTTGACAGCTTCCCGTAAGTTTGCTTCTTGGTGTCTTACAGATGAGATCTATGGGAACAGCTTGATTTCTACTGTGATTGACAGCTGCAACTGTTCAGACTCCAGTGACATTGAACTGAGTGATGACTGGGCTGCCAAGAAATCTCCCAAAATTTCCAGAGCTAGCAAATCCCCCAAACTCCCAAGGTAATCCCAGTCTTCGGGTCATTTCCCTTTATGTGCTTCTGACCTGTCTTTGTATAGATTCCCATCAAAACTGACACTAATAGGGACTTGAGCCCAGAATACTGCCAGTTCCAAAACCTTTCCTTGCTCAAATACATTTTGTTATAGTAGAAGGAAGGAAGAGAAGGAGAGATGAGATAAAAGGGAGGGAGGGAGGGAAAGAGAGAGAACTGGACAATAATTCCCCTTGTGCGATATCAAGAGCACCCTTTCTTTTTTTGTTTTTCAAATTCTTTATGGTGATTAAGTGATTACATAGTTTTCCAAATTTCACAGTATTGTGGGATAGTGATGCTTAGTTAAAGTCACAATCACATTCTAACTTTCATGGGGCAAATTGTCTATCATGGTCTATAACATTTATGAGTTCTGTGAGCTTTGCAATACAGTTATTTCTTCCACATTGGGTGATATGTTTTGCATAGCATCAGCTGTTCCCTCTTTCCCACTTGTTCCCTCTTTCCCATCGCTGCCGTTGAGTTCACTTTAATCAATGTCCAGTGCAGCTGATGGGTCCCACTGTTGTATGTTTTTCCCTGATTCCCTCTAGTTCTGTGTCGTCCTCCTGGTTTCCCTCTGGTGTGCACATATATACCATATATGTGATCAGCAGCATGGGGTTATTTAGTAGTGATTCGACCAGATGAGTGGAAGTCCTTTGTTTCTTAAGCCTTGTTAATTTTGTCATATCACCTTACGTTTTGGATTTAACATCCACTTATCAGGGAGACCATGTGCCATTTGTCTCTTTGCTCTTGGCTTACCTCAAAGAGCACCCTTTCTTCTGGCAGACTCTGCCTGGAATAATTACAGTTTCTATTAGAAAGACACTTAATAGAAAGTTTATTAAGCCCTCAGGACTTCTTTGGGTGTTAGCTAGGACAGTAGCTAATCTAGTTTTGGCTAAAGCTCCCTGGTTTTTACTTTAAGAAACAAAAAGGCTTTATATAGATGTGTTGAAGAAAACATCAACTTAAATGCCTAGAAGGCTATATGTGTGGCTTAAGCAATAGATCACCTGCTTAGCAAGTGCAAGGCCCTAAATTCAAACCCTAGTACTGCCAAAAAAGAAAAATACCTATAATGGTATAATTGAGGAAATAATAGTAAACTTAACAACCAAAAAAGAAAGAAAAAAACCCAGAAACATGGTTCCTAATAACTGTCTAAAGTCAAAATACTAAGATGAAAGGACCTGAATTACCCAAGGTAGAATACCACCTTCCTCTTCTCTGTCACTACAGCTGTATGACCTTGAATGAAGATGAGAATTTTTTTACCTGTGGATATTAAGGAGTAGATCCTCACCATTTCTGTGCTGTCCCTTTACCCTCCTCAAAACAGATAAACTTACAAACAAGACAAAAGCTATAGAAACAAAAACAGCAACAAAGTCCAAAAGAAAACCTTTTGTTTCCATTTCTTGGAGTTTATTTCTATAAATATGTTATATGATCATATGCACATAGCTATTGAGCCTTTGTGATCCTCTCCTAAGAATATACTCCTTTGGTCTCACTGTGTGAATGTCTAGAGACCGGAGTAACTTATCATGTCCAAGTGTAATTTTTTGTCTTTTACTATCTAGTATGCTTACTTGTAGATTTATAGGTTGGGGGGGTAATTTTTAGGTTGTCTATATACTCTTCATGTTAGACCCTTGTCACATATACAGCTGTCCCATTCTGTAGACTGATTTTTCAGCTTAGTTACTACATCCTTTGCTGTACTGATTTTTAGCTTGATACAATCTCATTTGTTAATTGTCTCTTATTTTCTGAGCCACTAAAGTTTTATTCAGGAAGCTCCTGCCTATGCCAATAAGTTGTAGTATTTTTTCTATTATTTCCTGTAGTAGTTTCAAAGTTTCAGGTCTTAAAATCTTCAATCTACTTTGAATTAGTACAGGGTGAAGACAGGGATCCAATTTCAGTATTATGCACATGAACATCCAGTTTTCTGAGCCCCACTTGTTGAAGTGTCTGTCTTTTTATTTTTCCCCAACATTTTTGGCTCCTTGTCAGAAATTAGATTGCTGTAGGGTCTGGGTTCATTTCTGGGTCTAGTCTGTTCCATTGGTCTTCTGTTTTTGTGCCAGTACATGCTGTTTTTGTTATTTTGGCTCTGTAGTATCATAGGTCTAAATTCTGATACCTTCAGCCTTGCCTTTTTTTTTTTTGTTCAATTTTGCTTTGGCAATTCAGCACCATTTGTATTTCAATATGCATTTTAGGATTGATTTCTCTATCTCAGAAGGCTGATACTTGGAGGATTGTGGTTCACTGCCACTCCAGGCAGAAGAGTGTGAGACTCTTAACTCCAAAATAACTAGCAAAAAGCTAGGCTGGAGACATGGCTGAAGTGGTGCCAGCAGAGTGGGCAAACTGAGCAAACAAGCCAAGGACCCTAATACTGGCTCTGTGTGTGTCTACTATGTCTGTGTGTATAAAATAGTCTATTCGTTCTGATGGATATGTTGTGATACCTAGTACCACTTAAGTCTACTCTCTGATGATTGAAGAGGCTGGGCACCTTTCACATGTTTACCAACCATTTGGTTAGCTTTTCCTGTGAAGTGTCTGCCCTTATTTATTTTACTTTTTTTTTGTATGTTTGTTTGTTTTCCTCTCATGGAGTTGTAAGAATTTTTGTGTGCAGTCTACTAAGAATCTTTTGTCAACTGGTGTCAGTGGCTTAGGCCTGTAATCCTAGCTACTCAGGAGGCTGAGATCTGAGGATCATGGTTCAAAGCCAGCCCAGGAAGGAAATTCTGTGAGACACTTTTTTTTTTTTTTGGTCTGTCCTGAGGCTTGAACTCTGGGCTTGGGTGCTGTCCCTCAGCTCTTCAGCTCAAGGCAAGTGCTCTACCGCTTGAACCACAGCTCCACTTCCGGTTTTCTAGTGGTTTATTGGAGATAAGAGTCTCACGGAGTTTCCTGCCTAGGCTGGCTTTGAACTGTGATCCTCAGATCTCGGCCTCCTGAGTAGCTAGGATTACAGGTGTGAGCCACCGGTGCCCTGCTATCTGTAAGACTCTTATATCCAATAAACCACCAGAAAACTGGAAGTGGTGCTGTGGTTCAAGTGGTAGAGCACTAACCTTCAGTTGAAGAGCTGAGGGACATTGTCCAGGCCAGAGTTCAAGCTTCATGACTCACCAAAAAAAAAAAAAAAAGAATCTTTTGTCAGTTATACATATATACTTGTTAGTCTAACATGTGAAATACGTTCAGTGCCTTATGTGACCTGTTTAGGAAATCTTTGTATACTCTAAGGCCTTGACTGCAGTCTTCTCTTCTCTTAGAACTAGAGCTTTAGCTTTCTCACTATATTTCAGATTATCTTTATATCCAGATTAATTTTTGGGTATGGTATAAATTAGGGGTAAAATACTTTTCCATATAGATAGCCAATTGCTCCAGTAATATAATTGACTGATTTTCTTACCTTTATTCTAAACCTTGTGAAAAATTGCATGAAAAATTAGATGTTTTCCAACACTTCCACGCTGTTTTGGCTTTTTCTGTTATTTACATAGGGAGAGCACTTTCCATGTACACAGTTAAATCTTTGCCTTCTGGTGACCTGTTAAGACTGTTGCTTCTCTGTGGCTCTCTAACTCTCTTCCTCCTCCTTTTCCCACATCATACCCCATTTACCCAGCAGTCAAGCTGCTGGTCCTAGCCTTAGCTCAGTCCCCCATCCTCCCACTCAGAAGCCTAGAGTTTCTCATCAAGCTTAAAAGTGTGGACTGACATTAATACATGTCTCATGTTATAAATAAGAACATAGGATAAATAGAACATAGGATCAAAAGACATCAGAAATGCTTTAGTACTGATTTGGCTTAAATATTGCAGATGGTAAAGTGTTAGATAAATCTGTTAAAATCCAAATTAATATAGAACAAATTTTAAAAAATCATAGTGAGGGCTGGGAAGGTGGCTCAGTGGTAGAGCGCTTGCCTTGCATGCCTGAGGCCCTGGGTTCGATTCCTCAGCACCACATAAGCAAAAAGAAAAAAGCCGGAAGTGGTGCTGTGGCTCAAGTGGTAGAGCGCTAGCCTTGAGCTGAAGAGCTGAGGGACAGTGCCCAGGCCCAGAGTTCAGGCCCCACAACCAGACCCCCCCCCCCCCCCAAAAAAAATCATAGTGATCTTAGGATAAGAAATTATTCTTAGCCAGGCGCTGGTGGCTTACGCCTGTAATCCTAGCTACTCAGGAGGCTGAGATCTGAGGATCACGGTTCAAAGCCAGCCTGGGCAGGAAAGATTGTGAGACTCCTATCTCCAATAAACCACCAGAAAACCGGAAGTGGTGCTGTAGCTCAAGTGGTAGAGTGCTCGCCTTGAGCTGAAGAGCTGAAGGACAGCGCCCAGGCCCAGAGTTCAAGCCCCACGACCGACAAAAAAAAAAAAAAAGAAAGAAAGAAAGAAATTATTCTTTTCTCCTACCATTTTTCACAAGACTAATTGTGCAAACCCCTGGCAAAAAGTATGTTGGCATTTCTAGACTTACTGGAAGTCACTAGAAAATGAGAGTTAATTCTGTGAGGTTTCCTAAAAAAAGATACGTGATCTAAACTCAATGTACTTTAAATTACTGTGTATATTTTTAGAATGTAGTTGTCATTCATTTCTCAAGAAGTTAAAGCAGAAGTGAGAGCAATAGCTTTATGAAATTAGGGCTCTGGCCACCAAGAATCAATGTCCACTGCTGACCATCTAGAGGGAAAGAAGATGCTGGTTAAGCTGCACCCCTCTGTGCATACCTGACTCCTCCTGACTTTGTCTCTGCAGGATCAGCATTGAGGCCCGCAAGTCTCCCAAGCTGCCCCGGGCTGCCCAGGAGATCTCCCGGTCTCCTCGGTTGCCGATGCGCAAGCCCTCCATCGGCTCACCCAGCCTGACGCGCAGAGAGTTTCCTTTTGAAGACATCACTCAGGTAGTAGCATACATCTGACAGAGTTACCTCAGTGTGGGTGAGAACCATCAGCTATCTGGAAACACTATCTTTCTTCCCTTTTTGCCTGGACTGCTTATTGCTAGGCTTGTATGCAGGCTGCCTGGCTCTTCCCCTTGTGCCCCTCTGCCCCAGAACCCTCCTGAAAACTCCCTAGTGTCTGTGGAGACTCCTCATCAACCCTCGTCATAACCCCCAGAGTTTGGTCTGCCTACCTCCACCCAGTGCCAACTGAAATCCCTGGATACTGCCTCTTCCTTGCCCTATCTATGCCTTTGTTAGGTCATCCAGTCCTCCTTCTTGTCCTCCTTTCTGCTCCCATGTCCAGACCTAACTCAGTGTCACCTCCATTGTGAAGGCTTCCTGCCCTGGACACAGCCACCAGTGTAGTAGCACATTTGGTATCTTCCCCTCTCCTGATGTTCCTCAAGGACTCTGATATCACTAAAGGCTTCATCTCTCCATTAGGTTATAAGATGCTTGAGGAGCTATATTTTTTGCACTTTATGCCATACATGCCCCCACACACACCTTGAACATAATGGTAACTTTTTAAATTGAGAGGATAATTGAGTAGTTGAAGGACTATAATGGTATCAGTGTATCTGATGTTTTCAAGAGAAATATCACGGATAAAAGTAGATTTAGAACAAGGGTACCTCTCTAGTCCAGTGGTTGAGAGAAAGGAGAGGGGAAGAAAAATATTCTCAACACTGTGGTAACCTTTTCATATTTTTTAAAAATATTTTATTTATTTTTAAAATATTTTTTATGTTCTAAAAATTTATATATTTTATTTGAGACAGCTCACCATGTAGCCAAAGATGGTCTGGACATTGAGATCTTCCTGCCCCAGCCTCCCAATTATTTGGACAATAGACTATCACATCTGACTTTATTTAGCTAGCTAGTTATTTGCTGAATTATTTGAGATAGGAATCTCACTATGTTGTGCAGACTAGATTTAAATTCATTGGCTCAAGTGATCCACTTGTCTCAGTCCCCTGAGTATCTGGGATTATAGGCATATCCTGCCATGACCAGTTTGTTGGCCTTTTTAAACTACTTTTTAAACTAAAAAAGTTTGTGAGACACCTGTCTCCACAGAAAAGGCTGGACATAGTGATATGTGCCTTATCATTGTAGCTACAGCAAAAAGCATAAATTTGGATGGTTCGTGATCCAAGCTGGCTTGGGCAAATAGCAAGTCATAATTTAAAAATAACCAGAGCAGAAAGGAAATGGGACACGACTCCAGTGGAAGGGTTCAAACCTCAGTATCACCAAAAAAAAAAAAAGTGACAGAATAATGGAAGGTATTAACATTTCTGACAGGGCACCTTGGATTTTTAAAGCAATAAATATTAATGTTTTTTACAAAGTAACCAATAGAAAATGTGGAAATAGACTGAGATTCTTCCTTTCTTCCCCCTTTTTCTTCTACAGCACAGCTATCTTGCTCAGGTCACATCCAATATCTGGGGAACCAAATTTAAGATTGTGGGCTTGGCTGCTTTCCTGCCAACCAACCTCGGTGCAGGTAAAAATTCATCCTATTTTCTTACTGACTTTGGAAATAGATCTTAAAAATCCAATTTCAACCTTTAGCAGCCTAAAGTAGAAAAAGATAGCACAATATTAGTATGTGTATAATAAGCCACTGTGATTTGACTCCAGACACTGTGATTTCAGAATAATTAGAATCATCACTCAATTTGATTTTTGCCACTGGCATTTTAATTTTTTAATAAGCTCTGGCTTTTAAAATAATAGCAATACAAAGATGAAAGAAATATCCAAAATCTCCATCAAAGCTTTCAACATTTTCTAAACATTTGGGCCTTTCTGGGCAGATTTGGGTAACATCCTCTAGATTCTTGAATCACAAGAAACTTGTGAAGAAAGAGAAGAGGACAAACTAAAGCTTATAAGATGTTGGCCAACTGGTACATATTCATATATTTTATTTTCCAGTATCAGACATCTTGCCCATGACAAATTTGAGACAGAGGTAAATTGAACCAGGGGAGTAAAAGGCTAAGCCAGAATCTAGACTTAGGTTTTCATTTACATTTCTGCCCAAATGAATAGTGGTAGTTCCTTAACAAGTGAAAACAGCAGAGAAGATTCTTCTCAGTAACTTCCTTCTGCGAAGTGGATTCCCATTTCTATTTGGGTAACAGAGCTATGTGTCTCACTCTCCCCCTCCCCCATTACCCACCTTCCTTGGTTGTCTTTGCATTTTCCACTATACATACCTATCTAGGAGGCCAATGAGGCCAGGTGGGATCTGTGTTATTTCCTATGTATGCACTCTGCAGCCTACTTAAGTTTGTTTCTCATAAATTCTGAATCTATGAAGGTTGTTTTCAACACTGATCTTATAAACTATTTTTTTTTTTTTTTTGTCGGTCATGGGGCTTGAACTCTGGGCCTGGGCGCTGTCCCTCAGCTCTTCAGCTCAAGGCGAGCGCTCTACCATTTGAGCTACAGCGCCACTTCCGGTTTTCTAGTGGTTTATTGGAGATAGGAGTCTCACGGTCTTTTCTGCCCGGGCTGGCTTTGAACCGCGATTCTCAGATCTCAGCCTCCTGAGTAGCTAGGATTACAGGTGTGAGCCACCGGCGCCCGGCTTTTTTATAAACTATTTTTTGCAAATCAAATACAAAATACTAACTGATTAGCTGGGCACTGGTGGCTCATGCCTGTAATCCCAGCTACTTAGGAGGCTGAGATCTGAGGATTGTGATCTGAAGCCAGCAAGAAAGGCCATTAGATTCTTACCACCAGTTAGTTACTAGAAATCCAGAAGTAAAGTTGTGGCTCAAGTTGGTAGAGTGCTAGTCTTGAGCATGAAAGTTCAGGGGTAGCACCCAGGCACTTGAGTTCAAGCTCCAGGACAGCACCCCACCCCAAAATAATGATGAGTTAGAGTTGTTGCTTAGTGATGGTAGCATACTTGCTTATGAGAACTGAGTTTGATTCCCGCACCACAAAAAGAAAAGGACCTATCTGCCTTGTGTGCATCTTCAGAGATTTACCTAAGAACACTGCCAGACTGAGTACTAGTAGCTTACACTTATAGCCCTAGCTATGTAGGAGGCCCGTACAAGGAGGACCATGGTAATTCAAAGTCAGGCTAGTCAGAAAAGTTCTAGAGATTCCATCTCCAATTGATCAGCGAAAAGCTACACAGGAGGTATGGCTCAAGTGGTAAAGCACCAGCTGTGAGCAAGAAAGCCAAGCAAGAGCATGAGGCCTTGAGTTCTAGCCTTGGTACTGGGGTGGGGGGGGCATTTGTGGGGGACTTGGGGAGAAATGAGCCCTGCTGGTTTTTTGTTTTTTGCCAGTCGTAGGGCCTGAACTCTGGGCCTGGGTGCTGTCCCTCAGCTCTTCAGCTCAAGGCTAGCACCCTACTACTTGAGCCACAGCGCCACTTCCAGCTTTTTCTGCTTATGTGGTACTGAGGAATCGAACCCAGGGCCTCATGCATGCAAGGCAAGCACTCTACCACTGGGCCACTTCCCAGCCCCCTGTTGGGTTTATACTTATAATCTCAGCACTTAGGAGGTTGACACCACAGGAGCAAGAGTTCAAGATCAGCTGGGAAGGTGGCTCAGTGGTAGAGTGCTTGCCTTGCATGCATGAGGCCCTGGGTTCGATTCCTCAGCACCACATAAGCAGAAAAAGCCAGAAATGGCGCTATGACTCCAGTGCTAGAGCACTAGCCTCGAGCTAAAGAGCTGAGGGACAGTGCCCAGGCCCAGAGTTCAGGCCCCATGACCGACCAAAACAAACAAACAAAAAAAAGAGTTCAAGATCAGCTTGGACTCAGTAATAAGATCCAATCAAGAAACAGAAACAGAAAGGAAGGAAGAGCAAGGAGAGGAAGAGAGGAGAAGAGAGAAGGTGCTCAATTGAAAGTATTTACCACTTTCAATCCATGGATGAGGAGAGTCCAGTAACTCAAAAGTGACCAAATTCTGAGGCAGGAGAAAGGAACTACAAGGAGTTTGTGGGGACCCAGCAAATTACAGAGAAGCAATCAAAGCAGAAGAAGAGTTTGAAAGCAGTACTAGCTCTTCCATTTGGGGATGGGGAGTTAGGACAGGAACACACTGGATAAACTTAGATGGTCCTGCCAAGGGATTGCCAGATTCAGTTTGGGAGGAAAACATAACTTGGAAACCTTAACAGTTCAGGGCTTTGGAAAGCTGAGAGTAATCTGTTGTGAGAGACTAGGCCACAGAAACTAAGATGTTCTGTGTTCCCTTTATCCTAGATGAGGATAGAGAGTCACCATCTTGAGAAAGTTTTTCTGGGATTTCAGGGTAAAGAAGTAATTACATATTAGCAACCCGCCGGTGATTGTACCATAGAACATGGTTGCTAATCAGTTAGAAGAGAAGTGGGAAGGAAGACAGACAAGGCAGGGAACAGCAAAAGTTTAAGCTTCGGGAAGCTAGTCTGCAGCCAGGAAGCCAGAGGCTACAAGAGGCCAGTGGCTGCAGTATCAGGAGACAGGATTAGAAATGCCCATCTAGCTAGAGAGCAGAGACACCTGCTTGATAGTGGAGGTCCCATCTCACCAAATGCTCAGAAACTCAGTGCACATATGGAATGTGCCACCAAACCATGGCAGCTCAACAAAAAAGCATGGTCTACCACTAGGTTGACAGCTGTCCCAAGTCTGGCAGGTAAGCAGCCTTGGGACTTTTTGCTGAGCCAAACGGAGGCATCAACTATCAGCTCTGAAGCCCTTTGCCCTTGTAAGGTCTTCTGAGGGAAGCAACAACACACCTGGGGCTGAAACAGCCTTTTGCGACCTGGAGAGAAGTCTTTAAATAAATAAACATATATAGCTGGGAAGTTGGCTCAGTGGTAAAGCACTTGCCTTGCATGCATGAGGCCCTGGGTTCGATTCCTCAGCACCACATAAGCAAAAAGAGAAAAGCCGGAAGTGGCACTTAGGCTCAAGTGGTAGAGTGCTAACCTTGAGCTGAAGAGCTGAGGGACAGCACCCAGGCCCAGAGTTCAGGCCCCAGGACCGGACCCAAAAAAAAAAAAAAAAGAAATATGTATAGGCACATAAGAACAGTCAAAAAGTCATATTTGTTATATCTGTCTTTGTTCCTGTATTAGTTCAAGTGTTTTGAGTATTGTACTTGTTTAAGTATATGTTTTTTCTTTTCTGTAAATTAGGTAAAAGCCATTTCCTTATTAATCTAAACATTCTAAAGTAGACTTGTTACCCTATTCCATTTAATCTTGTAGTTTGCTTCTCCCTCTTCTTCTTACTCCAAACCATAATATCTGAACTTTATTACTTGTCTTTAGTGATCTGTATTGAATCACAGTTATATACCCTTCCTATAGCCCACCTCATTTATATTTTCTATATAATTAAGTAGAATTCTTATTTATTCATATTCGCTTCTACCTCTGTTTTCCTACTCTTCAGTCTTCCTCAATACCTAAACTTTCATACCTGGTAAATAAACTACCTGAACATCATTTTTGTTCTGTTCATTTTTCATTTTTGCTTTCTGTTATTTATTATTTGTCTCTGTATTTCTCTTACTTTTTCTCTTTATTTCTCTTTGATCATTGATGTTGTCTAATTTGTGTGTATATATTTACATATACATCTCTCCTCACTTTATCTTCACCATTCCCTCACCCAACACAGTATTAACTGATTTGTGTGTGTGTGTCTGTGTCTGTCTGTCTGTCTATCTGTCTGTCAGTCAGTCACTTGAACTCAGGGCCTAGGCACTACTTCTGAGCTTTTTTGCTCAAGACTAGCACTCTGCCATTTGAGCCACAGCTCCAATTCCGAGTGTTTGGTGGTTAATTGGAGATGAGTCTCATAGATGTTCCTGCCCTAGTTGGCTTCACAGTCCTAAGATCTCAGCCTCCTGAGAGACATGAGCTATAGACACCTGGCATTAACTATATTTTTTTCTGCTTACCTCACCCCACTGTCCACTAACCTTAGCCATACAACTTAGTATTGGAATAGCATGTATTCCAATAGGACTATCTTTTATTTCTGTCACCTTGATTAGGGAAGGTTTTTCTGGAGCATGAAGATATACCTTGAAACCATTGTCATTCAAAGAGATTGGAGTGGTAGCAGTGACTTGTCTTTTAGAATTTAACACAAACCTAACCATAGTTTACCTCTGGCAACAACCTTGGAATGAAACTTCCTCATCCTGAATAGAAAAAAGCCTCATACACAGTGTCCTGAGCACTGAAATTGACTATTTGTTGACAGATGCACCCTCCCAGACCATATCCTAACTTGAATAATAGAGATAAGACTAGAAACAAGAAAACTAAAGACATTGAGAGCCTCTTCAACAAATAATGGAAGAAACTTCTCTAACCCATGTACAGAGACAAAACTCCAAACAGGCCAGATCAGAAAAGAAATACACTACATATTTTATGGTAAAAATACTAAATAGATGTAATAAAAAAAAATCAAAAGCCTCAAAAGAGAGGAGGTAAGTAACTTACAATGGAAAAGCCATTGTAACAACAGTAGATTTCCTGACCCAGACATTAAATGCAACGTAGGCACGGAAAAACATAATTCAAGCCCTGAAAGATAAGCTAGCTGTCAGAATTGATGGAGAAATAAAAGCCTTCTGCGATAAAAGCTAAAGGAATCCATGACTACTAAATCAGCACTTAAGTATCTACATAACATTCTACTTAAGTATCCTTATATACAGGAATGAACCCTACTAGAAGAGTAGATTAGCAAAGAGGAAAGAAGCAAGCATTTAAAAACCACAACAAAATGACAGGAAATATGGTATCTTTCTCAATATTAACATTACATGTCAATGGACTCAACATTCTAATCAAAAGTTGGAGTTAGGGGCTGGGAAAGTGGCTCAGTGGTTGAGCGCATGCCTTGCATGCCAGAGGCCCTGGGTTCGATTCCTCAGCACCACATAAGCAAAAAGAAAAAAGCCAGAAGTGGCGCTGTGGCTCAAGTGGTAGAGCGATAGCCTTGAGCTGAAGAGCTGAGGGACAGTGCCCAGGCCCAGAGTTCAGGCCCCATGACCGGACCCAAACAAACAAAAATTGGAGTTAGCAACTTAGAATAAAATATAAGACCCAAACCATTTGTTGCCTGCAAAATACATCTCACTGACAAAGACAAATGCATGCTTAAGGTGAAAGGCTTGAAAAAGACCTGAGCAAGAGATTCCAAAAGCATACGTGGGTAGCCATACTTACATCTGATAAAGTAGGCTTCAAGCTAAGACTAGTCAGAAGACAAAAAGTGTCTTTATATTAATTGATTAATTATGGTAGTTAGTATATATCCACACTGTTTCTTCAAACACTTCTGGACTTACAGCACTGATGGATACCAACACAATAGTGGGAGATTTCAACACCGCAACACTCTGACCAAGATAGGTCATCCAAACAGAAGATAGCTTCTTTTTTTGGGGGGTGGGGGGGTCTGGTTGTGGGGCCTGAACTCTGGGCCTGAGCACTGTCCCTCAGCTCTTCAGCTCAAGGCTAGCGCTCTACCACTTGAGCCACAGTACCACTTCCGGCTTTTTGCTTATGTGGTGCTGAGGAATCAAACCCAGAGCCTCATGCATGCAAGGCAAGCACTCTACCACTGAGCCACCTTCCCAGCCCCTTCAAACAGAAGAATCAGTAAGAAACCTTAAAATTAAATTCCACCACATACCACATGGAATTAACATATCCACAGAGTACTTCTCACAGTAGCTGCACTACACACATTCTTCTTGGCACTCCATGGGACTTTTTCCAAAATAGATCATATCCTAGGTCATACAGCAAGTCCCAGCAAATACAAGTAAGCTGAAATATCAGGAACACAAAAGACAGTTGACAGGGCCTGTCCTGTTTAACATATGCTGAAGAGTCACAATTGTTTTGGTTTTGTTTTCTTTTTGTTTGTTTTTATTTTTATTTTGTGCTGGCACTGGGACTTGAACAGGGCCTGAGTGCTGTCCTTTAGCTTTTTTCTTTTTTTTAAATAATTTTTTTATTGTGAGAATACTGTACAGAGGAGGGGTTACAGTTACATGAGCAAGGTAATGAGTACATTTCTTATCAAGCATTGTTGTCTCCTCCTTAAGAGTCACCACTTTTAATTTTGTTTTGTCTCTTCTAATATATTTCAGTCACATTTTCAACATTTAGAAAACTAATATTTAAAAAAAAACCATCATGGGGGCTGGGAAGGTGGCTCAGTGGTAGAGCACTTGCCTTGCATGCCTGAGGCTCTGGGTTCGATTCCTCAGCACCACATAAGCAAAAAGAAAAAAGCCGGAAGTGGCACTGTGGCTCAAGTGGTAGAGCGCTAGCCTTGAGCTGAGGAGCTGAGGGACAGCGCCCAGGCCCAGAGTTCAGGCCCCAGGACCAGACCCCCCCCCAAAAAAAAAAACAAAACACCATGGAAGTTTCTAGATATCCCTATCCCACTAAAATTAAAAGTCAATAAGAAAATACTTCATTCCTTGACGATCACAGTGTTCTGTGCCAGCATGACACCTTTCACCTATTTTCTATTGTTTTCAAGCAGTGCCTTGATTGCCAAAGATTCCCCTGGGTTTGACACTCTCATTATCACTACTGAATTCACTAAATTATCCTCTGGTTGCAAATGAATCCTTAAATTTTTTTTTCTTCCAGATGTCAATGGTATATATCTGTAATCCTAACTACTTATGAGGCTGAGAATTGGAAAAATGTGTTCAAAGCCATTTCAGGCAGAAAATTCTGTCAGATTCCAACTCCAGTTAATCAGCAAACTGCTGTGCTTGAGGTGTACCTCAATTTGTAGAGTGCCAGTTACAAGCAAGAAAACTGGGTGAAAGATCCTGAGTTCAAGTCCCAGTACCAACATAAAGGAAAGAAAGGAGGAAGGAAGGGAGGGAGGGAGGAAGGGAAAGAAGGAAGGAAGGAAGGAAGGAAGGAAGGAAGGAAGGAAGGAAGGAAGGAAGGAAGGAAGGAAGGGAGGGAAGAAGGAAAGAAGGGAGGCAGAGGAAGGAGAGAAAGGAAATCATGGCTGGTATAGCCTGGCATATATAGGAGAGATGAAGAGTTCCTATTAGGCTCTTGGCCCAGCCATACAGGTTTGTCTTCTGATGGCAGAGATCCACAGCACTCCAATTTTCTTCTTGCAATTCTTTTGACACTTTGGCTCTCCTCTGGTGTGTCTCTATTAACTGTGCCCTTCCTCCTCCTCACCAGTAATCTATAAAACCAGCCTGCTGCATCTTCAGCCACGGCAGATGACCATTTATCTCCCAGAAGTTCGGAAGATTTCCATGGACTATATTAATTTACCTGTCTTCAACCCAAATGTTTTCAGTGAAGATGAAGATGATTTACCAGGTGTGTTCATATGACATAGGCTTGTTTGTTCCTCACACAACAGGGGAAGGGGGGTGGGTAAGTCATTGACAAGTACAGCATACTGCCTTGGTTTGGAAAAGACACACCTGCTTTAGTAATCTGATAGATTCTGTGGTAAGTCCCAGGAAAAAGGTCACACATAGGCACCCATTTGAAGAAGGGAAGTCACCAGAGTGTGAGTGGTTAAGGGGGCAATGACAACTCACAGAGCATTTCTCCTGTCTCCTTTTATCCTTACAGCAACTTTCTGGTTCATGTGCCAGATAAAGATGAATTTGAAGGACTAAAGCCCCATCTTAGTAGAGGCTAGCCTTTCCATCCTTGGTTGGAGAACTCCTCTCTCCATTGGCCTATGGTACCCACACAGCTGAACTTCTTAAATATGCCCCACGTCTACAACACACAGCCTGTGCATTTAAACACTTCTCTTTAATCATACAGTACTTATCTCTGCATGGAGACCTGGCGTGTGTTAAACTAGTACACGGTTTTTAAATTCCACTTTGCACATTGTCAAATATCTGTAGCATCTTAAATTAATTTCCAAGTGGGGGAATCCTAAGAGGATTCTATTTTGATTAATAGATCAGAATGATTACTATTAGTTATATACTACTATTCTCAATTACATGAGAGCACTTTCTAAGCAAAAGTCCTCTTGTAATTTCATAGGTTCAGAAACTACTTTCAACATCAATGTCCACAGCTCCATGACTAAAGTGTTACATACTTGATCTTGATAGCGCATCCCCTGCTATTTCAGAATCTTCGGTTTAGAAGTATCTTCATTCCCTCCCTGTTCTGCACACATGTGATGAATATAACTGTTGTCAGCATTCATTTGTTGCTGTGGTGGGAATATGCTGTCTCAAGCTCACATTTGATGATGATGACTCCACAGAGCCTCCGCTTGTCAGTGTTCCCTGCAGACTGGAGAATATCTGGAAGTGAGATCTGCATAGAAGCAATGGAAAATGAGATAGGACTCAGATCTTTGCAGCCAGATGATAGTCCAGGGGTGGGCTTAATTCTGACATTTCAGCCAGCTAGATTCTGCAACAGGATTCCAGAAGGCTCATTCTGGCTGGTAGTAGGTCAGCCAACCTGAACACAAACCTGTTAGATCTTATTTTCTGTCCAAGTAGTCATTGCCACTTAGCACTCAGAACCAGGTTGCAGGCCTGCCTTTGCTGTCTAAGGAAAGCTACAGTGGCTGGAAGGGCTGAGGAACAAAATTGCTGGGATGCTTAGTAGGCACAATAAGCAAGGGCTCTAAAGCCTTCCTGCAATTTACCATTCACACACAGTCCATGAAAGTCCCACCGTGTATAAGTAGGGAATATTTACAGGGTTTTCTTTAGTATGGCTCTATCTTTTTTTCTGGTCATGGGGCTTGAACTCAGGGTCTGGGCTCTGTCCCTGAACCTTGCTGTGCTCAAGGCTAACATTCTACCACTTGAGCCAAAGTGCTACTTCTGGCTTTTTCTGGGTAGTTTATTAGAGATAAGAGTCTCAAGGACTTTCTTTCCTGGGATAGCTTTGAGCCATGATTCTCAGATTTCACTGAGTAGCTCAAATTACAGGAACCACACTGAGCAAAATCTATCTTATATACTACTTGAAATGATAAAAAGTAGACACATTAGGAAGTGATCCTTCCGCTAATATGCATATTTGCTATATTATTTAATGGTTTTGTTACTATATTTTACATGTTTTTTTTCAATTCTCAAGTACAAATTCATAGAACATGTTCCAGATAGACATTTCATGAGACTTACCACACTTAAGAATCCAAAACCAGAGGCTGGGAAGGTGGCTCAGTGGTAGAGCGCTTGCCTTGCATGCCTGAAGCCCTGGGTTCGATTCCTCAGCACCACATAAGCAAAAAGAAAAAAGCTAGAAGTGGCGCTGTGGCTCAAGTGGTAGAGCACTAGCCTTGAGCTGAAGAGCTGAGGGCCAGCACCCAGGCCCAGAGTTCAGGCCCCATGACCAGACCTCCCCCCGCCCCCCCCCCCCAAAAAAAAAGAATCCAAAACCATTAGTGAACTTGCTTAGATTAGGCACAGTATTCCTCGGCAGGATTCCTTACTGTACCACCACTCTCCTGCAAAGAATGGCCATTTTATTAGTATTACCAGTAAAGCAAGTCCTTCAGAGACTTAATTATTTGTGAGGATACTATTTGGGCACAAAAGGTTTAAATGTTTTCATTAAAAAGCTCTGATATCTGCTAAAGTATCACACATTTTCTTTTTGTCATTTGAGTAACAATGCTTGATAGGAAATGTACTCATTACCTTACTCGTGTAACTTTAACCCCTTTACAATAAAAAAATATAGTAAAAAAAAAAAAAAACCTCTGATAATGCCCATGTTCAACAGGCACATACCCTTACAGACACCCCCCCACAAGTGCCTATGTATTCTTTCAGAAATATAAGAGAGGTTTTATAAATGATTCAAAATATGTGAATCCAGACTTATTGCCTATTTTGACCCTGTTTCATGACACTGCTTTGCAAAGAGTTCCTTTTTCTAATTTCCTTCCAGTGACAGGAGCCTCTGGTGTCCCCGAGAACAACCCACCTTGTACCGTGAACATCCCAATTGCACCAATCCACAGCTCTGCTCAAGCTATGTCCCCCACGCAGAGCATAGGGCTGGTACAATCTCTGCTCGCCAATCAGAATGTGCAGCTGGATGTCCTGACCAATCAGACAACAGCTGTGGGGGCAGTAGAACATGCAGGAGACAACGCCACCCAGTATCCAGTTTCCAACCGGTATTCCAACCCAGGACAGGTGATTTTCGGAGGTGCAGAAATGGGCCGCATCATTCAGAACCCTCCTCAGTTGCCCTTGCCACCACCGCCACCACCACCACAAGGAGCTGTGCAGATGTCTGTAATGGACCATGGAGACCGAGACCACGAACACCTGCAGAAGTCAACCAAGGTCTTGCGGCCAGTGCCCCAGCTGGCGGCTGAGGGGGATGCAGTAGTTTTCAGTGCCCCCCAGGAAGTCCAGGTGACAAAAATGAACCCCCCACCTCCCTACCCAGGAACCATTCCTGCTGCCCCCACCACAGCAGCACCCCCACCCCCTCTGCCACCACCACAGCCCCCAGTGGATGTGTGCTTAAAGAAGGGCGACTTCTCCCTCTACCCCACAGCAGTACATTACCAGCCTCCCCTGGGCTATGAGCGGATCACCACCTTTGACAGCAGTGGCAATGTGGAGGAGGTGTGCCGGCCTCGCACTAGGATGCTCTGTTCCCAGAACACCTACACCCTTCCTGGCCCAGGTAGCTCTGCCACCTTGAGGCTCACAGCCACTGAGAAGAAGGTCCCTCAGCCCTGCACCAGTGCTACCCTGAACCGCCTGACTGTCCCCCGCTACTCCATCCCCACAGGGGACCCACCACCATACCCTGAAATTGCTAGTCAGCTTGCCCAGGGGCGGGGCACTGCCCAGAGGCCAGACAGCAGCCTCATTCATGCCACCCTGCGGAGGAACAACCGTGAGGTGGCACTGAAAATGGCTCAGCTGGCTGACAGCTCCCGGGTGCCACTGCAGCCCCTAGCCAAGCCCAAGGGTGGCCCTGGCGGGGCAGTGGCACAGCTCCCAGCCCGGCCCCCACCAGCCCTGTACACCTGCAGCCAGTGCAGTGGTGCAGGGCCCAGTGCACAGTCAGGCACTGTCCTAGCTCATGCTATCAGCTCCTCCCCACTGACCTCCCAGTCCTCTTACAACCTCCTGAGCCCACCTGACAGCACCCGTGACCGCACCGACTACGTCAACTCCGCCTTCACGGAGGATGAGGCCCTGTCCCCCCACTGTCAGCTTGAGAAGCCCCTGAGACATCCCCCACTGCCTGAAGCCACTGTCACCGTGAAGAGGCCGCCTCCTTACCACTGGGACCCTGTGCTGGGTGAGGATGTGTGGGTTCCTCAGGAAAGGACAGCACAACCTGCAGTGCCCAACCCCTTAAAACTGCCCCCTCTGATGCTAGGGCAGGGCCAGCACCTGGATGTGGCTCGAGTGCCATTTGTCTCCCCCAAGTCCCCTGCCAGCCCCACTGCCACTTTCCAAACAAGCTATGGGATGGGAGTGCCATATCCAGGAAGCTATAACAACCCCCCTCTGCCCGGAGTGCAGGCTCCCTGCTCCCCCAAAGATGCCCTGTCCCCAGCACAGTTCGCACACCAGGAGTCAACTGTCGTCCTTCAGCCAGCGTATCCGCCTAGCCTCTCCTATTGCACCCTGCCCCCCACATACCCAGGAAGCAGCACGTGCTCTGGTTTACAGCTGCCACCTGTCGCCTTGCACCCATGGAATTCCTACAGCACCTGCCCACCTGTGCAAAACCCCCAGGGCACTCTCCCGTCTAACCCCCATTTAGTGGTGGAGAAGCCCCTTGTATCCCCACCACCCGCTGACGTCCAAAGCCACATGGGCACAGAGGTGATGGTAGAGACTGCTGACAACTTTCAAGAAGTCCTCTCCCTGACGGAAAGCCCGGTCCCCCAGAGGACAGAAAAGTTTGGGAAGAAGAACCGGAAACGCCTGGACAGCCGAGCAGAGGAAGGAAGTGTTCAGGCCATCACTGAGGGCAAAGTGAAGAAGGAGGCTAGAACTTTGAGTGACTTTAATTCTCTCATCTCCAGCCCCCGCTTGGGGAGAGAGAAGAAGAAAGTGAAGAGTCAGAAAGACCAACTGAAGTCAAAGAAGTTGAACAAGACAAATGAATTCCAGGACAGCTCCGAGAGTGAGCCTGAGCTGTTCATCAGTGGGGACGAGCTGATGAACCAAAGCCAGGGCAGCAAGAAGGGGTGGAAGAGCAAGAGGAGCCTTCGGACAGCCAGTGAGCTAGAGGAGTTCAAGTGCCGCAAAGCCAGCGAGAAGGACGATGGCCGGCTGGGCAGCCAGGGCTTTGTGTATGTGATGGCCAATAAGCAGCCTCTGTGGAACGAGGCCACACAGGTGTACCAGCTGGACTTCGGAGGACGGGTGACCCAGGAGTCGGCCAAGAATTTCCAGATCGAGTTGGAGGGGCGGCAGGTAAGAAAGCTGTGACACCGAAGCTGCTGCATGACAGTCTGTGCTTTGGCCTCCAGGAGCACTTTTTCAAAAGGGGAGAGATAGTTCCTATCTCTTAGGTGGAAGCAATAGGCTTTGAATTCTCAGTATTCCTACCACTGTCTTGTATTTTTTTTTCAACCCAGTAATGCACACATTGATAGCCAAATGATTCCATGAAATTTGTAAGGGCTAGTTGCAACTCTCTCCCCTCCCCCCATCACATCTGTTCTCATGGAGGTGAAAGTTTCCCTGGAATTTTCCATCATCCTTGCAAAGAATGTAAGAATATGTTTATATTTCTGTTTATTGGTGTTTCTATTTTGCCATCATGTATTCTTCCTGAGAAACTCTTCTCTCTGTGCTAATTCTACCAGGAACGGCACTGAACTCGTTACCTCTTTCCCACCTTCTTTTCCTTTCATGTCTCTGCTTCTCCACCACCCTCTTTCTCTCAGGTGATAGAGGTTGAAAGCCTGATGGTTATATTCTAAACCTCCAGCACCCATCCAGTTATGCATTGACTTTGAGAATATTTCCAGCACCCATTCAGTTAAGCATTGACTTTGAGAATATTTCCAGCACCCATTCAGTTATGCATTGACTTTGAGAATATTTGTTTTCTTCATCCCCACTCTCCTCCCCCTTTGCCAGTTAAAGCAATAGTCATTAGTGACCTTGTTCTGTCAGTGAGTAGGATTTACACCTGAGCCTTGTATGACAGTATAGTATTACAGTTTTTCCTAGACTTACTAACTGCTTGGATTTTCTTTGTTTGCTTATTTTCTGTGAACGTATCGCTAAGTCATCCATAGGACTTTGACTCGTAAGTTAAGTCTCTTCTTGATGCCACTCAGCACTGTGAGTGACTGGTCTGTGCGTCCTGCTCCAACCTGCTTAACCACCCTGGGAAACCCCTTCTCCACTCATCTTTAAATTTGCATTTTCATTAATTCAGTCATCAACTATTTATTGAGAACCTGCTGTGTATCTAGCAGTCCTCTAAGCCAGATCTAAGCAATCTGGCCCATTATTCCACTAGCCCACTGCCCTCTGTTTGTAAGTAAAGTGTTATTGAGATGCAACCCCTCCCTTTGACTTAGGGGTGTTGTATACAGCTTTCATCTGACATGAACAGAGCTGAGTGATGGTTGCAGAGTGTATGACCCACAAAACCTAAAATGTATATTGTCAAACCTGTACCAGAAGCTTACCAACTCCTACTCTAAGTGAGAAATAAGAGCATTGAAGAAAGTCACTGCCATCACAGCACTTCCTACAGTTAGAGAAAGACCACAGACAAATCAGTATATATCCTACAACATCATGCAATGCTGTCAAGTTCTGGGACCACAGGAAGTGGAGGAGCTAGAGCATGCTGGAAAGAAAGCAGTGTTCTAGAAGACAAGTGAAGTAGATGTGTCTCTGAAATCTCTGTTAGCCTATAAGTTCTTTTTTTTTCTTTTTATCTCTCCCTTGCTCCTTCCTTAGTGACGAACCCATTTCATCTGAGCTGTACAGCTTCCTTGGCTGTGAATCACACTCACTGTCTCCTCTTTCATCATTTCACATGTTTCTTTGTCCCATTTCCTACAAATTATTAGGTGGATCTAGAAGGTCAGTCAGACTCAGTCCACTCTTGTGGACTGCTGTCTACTTCTCTCGGGAGCCGGCAGCTCTGGTGTCTGCTACCTTCTTTTTCTTTCATGGCTTTGCTTCTTGCACCCTCCCCTAGGTGATGCAGTTTGGACGGATTGATGGCAATGCATACATCTTAGACTTCCAGTACCCCTTCTCAGCTGTGCAAGCCTTTGCTGTTGCCCTGGCCAATGTGACTCAGCGCCTCAAATGAAGAGACCAGTACGGGAAGAAAGATGCCACAGAGCCTTCAGAGGTAGAGCCCATGCTGCTGCTAGCCAGGGGACCTGGAGACAACAGCAGAAGTGGGAGAGCCCGTCAAGCCCGGAAGGCACTGGCCTTTCGGCGTGTCGTTTATTCTATTACCTTTATCATCTGTCTTTCCTTTCTTCTTTAACTAAAGTGTTATTTGCAAGGCAAGGGTGTGAAATGCCTGGTGTTCTTTCAGACAGTGTTTAGTGGCTGCAGAAACACTCTGCTGAGTTTGCTTCTCAGTGACCAGGACAAGGGCCTTTGGAGAGAAGACAGACTGCCTTCTAGCCTGCCTGCTATTTTAGACATAGGGAGTGTGTGTTAGTGTTCATTTTCCACAACATCTGGCCTTTATTACTCTTCCAACATTATCACTAGTGCAAAACACAAACTTCAGAAAATAAAAACAACCCCAAATCCTGAAGATTCAGGCTCTTTTATGGGGAGAGGGCAGCATTTAATTCACATATATTATGGTACTCCCCAAAAGATGACTTGATGGATGAAGGATATGAGGGCAAATGCACTGTATTCCACTCACGAAAGTAGGTATGTGCAGAGGTACTATCATCAGCGTGGATGTGGTTTGGTGTCAAAGAAGGGGTTATAAACAGGTGAGGAATGATGTGCCCATGTAGACAAATACTTGGGGGACTCATTGGTGTGATTTATATAAAGACTACACTTCTCTTCCAGAAGACTCCAATATAAACATCACATATGATGTCAGATGTTGCATAGGATCAATGATAACTGTTGAGTAAGATGTCCTGAAGGTAAGAGACAGCAGTGAAAAGAGCCCAGGGATTATGTCTGATAAAGGGTATGACAGTCAGTAGAACCCAATTTACTGAGCAAGATGGTATTGCCTCTATGCCTTTTTAAAAAAATCTCAAACACATTATTGCAAACATATTTCTCATTAGATATCATTGATGTGTCATTTCCCTTTCTAAAAGTATGGATGAGACTTGATTTGAAGCAATTCTTTCTTGGTTACATTAAAATTCAGTTGACTAGAAATGCTTTCCATCAAGTTACATATGTAACCCCCCAAAATTGAAGCTTTGCCAGGATATGAAAAAGTAGCAGTGTAGTCAAATCCTTGACAACTGCTCCATGATACTCTCCAGGTAATGGGGAGAGCTTTTTATCCGTCTAGACTGTTTTTACTGAGGTGAGAAACTACTAAGAAAACATCGTTAAAAAATGACTATACCTATGGCGGTTAGATGTCTGTTCTTTGTTAGTTCAGCCTAGAAGATCTTTGCCCACTTATCTATAATGAGATGCTGCCAATACGACCTAGTTTGCTTTTGGTTACTCCTACTGATATTGTTTCAGGATAGAGCATGACAGCTGACTGCTAGCTTTGACACATAAATTTAGATTGTATTTGGAAACAGGAAAGTGGAAGATGCATACAGGAAAGTATTTTCAAATTGAATTTAATTTTCAAACTGAAGTAGTTTTTTTAACTCACTGAATTTGGTTGGAGAATTAGAAAAGAAGCCGGCCTATTCCTTTGCCAAATTACTTACCATTCTTTACAACTTCCAAATCAATACTGAGTAGGTTTTTAAATACGGTAAAGGACATCTTCCAGCTAATACTGGAATTCCCAGTTTATGCTTAAATGTGTGGAGATAGATTCTTTGGTGGGTAAATTCTTCCAGAAAGAAATTAGTGGTGTGTTTCAGAGTTCCCTAGTTTTTTATTTAGGTATTTATAGCTTGATATAGCATTTCATTGCTTATTTTTAGTAGTGCAATAATAGTTGTAGACTGATCTTGAAATGATTTAAATGTAATTCCTCTATTTTTGCCTGTCCAAAAGGTAATTATTTATCTTGTTTTTCATAGTATTTTTGGAGTTATTTTGTTTCTATGTATTTGTGAGTTATGCCCATTATTTATTTAGAAAAGAAATGGTATCTTTGTAATGACTTATTTGGTAGCAGTTATTTCGCCTCAAGAAATAAAAGAGAACATGACCGAAGATGCTTTGCCAATAATTTGTAACTTTTTCTAATTGGGAAAAAGTCCTATTAGTCCTTTAAAAAGAATTCATTTTTATTTCATGGTGGTGGTTTATACAGAGGAGGGTATTTCTTTGAGATAGCATACCCTAAAATAATATTTCTTTTATTTGAAGTGTGTATATTTAATTAAAACAAGAATAGAAGGAAATAGGGGAAGTGGGCATCTAGGAGATAAGTAGTGGAAGGAGGAATTCTTATGAAACCACTCAACTTTCTAAGTTCTGGTTCTACAGATATAAAGGCCACACAATAAGTAAATTTTTAAAACTTTTTTTTTTTTTTAGTAAGAACAAACAAATGGTCAGTCACTCCCCAAAAGGTATTTACACACACGGAGATGTTAGCAACGAGTCTGCAGGGAGAATGAGCACACACCACCTACACCACCTACAGGCTGACTCTACCCCAGGCCTGAGACTCAGTCTCAGGTGCCAAATCAGTCACTGGCTGCCGCAGTTAAGATATGCTGTCTTTTAAAGCCATAATAGTGGCTTTATTTATGTAAAACAATTGCCTTCAGTCAGTCTCAGTTGATTATGTGCTACTAAAATTAGGACTTTTAAGTAACAGAATTCTAGATACTTCGTGTTTCTCAATAGCAATGTATAAGTGTCTAGATATCTCATTGGCTTCCTAAATTAAAGAACATTGAACTAATAAAATATCAAGTACATAAAGATTTTCATTGGGCTGGAGTGTGGCTCAGGTGGTGTCGTGCTTGCCTGGCAAGCTCAGGACCCCAAGTTTAAATCCCACTCCTACCCCCCAAAAGGCATGAGAAGCATTAAACTAATAAATATAAAATCAGTTTTAATTTATTTGGCTCTAACTTCATCAGACCAAAGGCAATAGACATGTACAAAATATTCACTGAATGTATATCTTGACAAAAAATGAGACCAAAGAAGCAGAAAATTCAAAGCTGTAATTGCAGTGTAAAAAAAAGGCTGGCTGTGTGCAGATGGCTGGGTTTCACACTAGCTAAGGCAATGCAGAAGCATGTGATGTTCAGTACTAGCTGGTAAGGAGGCCCAGTCTCAAGCCTGGCTCTGCTCTGCTCTCCTCTCCTACAAGGTTGGAGGGTGACCTTGGCTGCCAGACCTCCTTATGTCCATTTGTAAAATGAAAAGGACATGAGGAAAATCCTTAAGCTCCCTTGCTTCAGCAGCCTGAGAGCTCAGAAGGGTACAGCTTCAGCTTCTCACTTCAGGAGGGTGAAAGTATGTTTCAAAACATTGCCTTTTTTTTTTTTTTGGTCAGTCATGGGGATTGAACTCAGGGCCTGTGCACTGTCCCTGAGCTCTTTTGCTCAAGGCTAGCTCTCTACCACTCTGAGCCACAGCACCACTTGCAAGTTTTTCTGGTGGTTAATTAGAGATAAGACTTTCCTGCCTGGGTGGCTTTGAACTGCGATCCTCGGATCTCCGCCTCCTAAGTAGCTAGGATTACAGGTGTGAGCCACCAGCACCTAGCAAAACATTGCAGTTTTATGGAGACATGTTTCTTTTTCTGTGTTTATGAGCTGTCTACTGAATACATACCAGTTCTGTTAACAAATCATCTGTAGAAAGGCCATCTCTAAATGAATTTGAGATCATATTTGTTCTCATATAGTTATAAGCAGGATGGAAGAGTTCTTCCCCCATAAGTATACTCTGCTCAGTGAGCACCCTCAAGAACAACCCCATAATATACCACTAGTCCCTAAAATGGTGGATCCAAAAAGAACAGAGGAGTGAGGATCCAGGTTAACTTGGTTTTTTAGTGTGTTTCTGTCCTCAATTGTTAGTACTATCCTCAGACTCAAAAGTTTGCTTGAAAAGGGACCCGTGAGAAAACAACCAGGGTGTCCCTGAACTGTGGGTCACTTGCTCAAGTCAGTGATTGTAGCACAGTTAGCTGAGACAAAATGGATCAGAACTGTCCTTTGAGTTCCTGGGTCTTTATACTCACAACCGAAACTCTGCGCCATTTGTGTATTTTCCATATTTCTAGTTGGTAAACCCTGAAGGATTGTGGCTTATTTCATTTCCACTTTCTTTGGCTTTGTGCAATTTCTTGTAACTTTCCTTACACCTATATTTTTTGTTTATAATTTCTTTCTAAGGGGAGGGGTAGGATTCTAAGCTTGTTTATTGTAGATAATTTTTTTCTTGTGTTGTGGAAAAGCATGGATTATGCATTGGGTGGAAAAGGCACTGTGTTACTTACCAAAGGGGTATTGTTTCTGCATTTGTTTATAAATGCGTTATTTTGGTACTGTAAATTTGGATGTCATTTCTGCATTTATTACTACTGGTTTTTTTTTCTTTTATTATTCCCATAAGAGTGCAATGCAGGTACAGAGGCTCCAGACCGAACACCACCACCAGCATGTTATTGTCCAAACCCTGGGATTGGCATGCACTCTTCCTGCATACCAGTTCCTCTGCTGTCGGTTTCTTTTTAAATCAGCATCCTACTTTGTCTTAGTTTCCAAACATGATCTGTTGTGATTCCTGATTGCATTTCAGTGAGCTCTCTTATTTGCCTATCTTCTTACGTATTTTGTGTACCTGACTGTGCAGGAGGTATTCTAGAAGGCATTAATGGTTTGCATTCAAAATGATGTGGTTTGTCCAAAATATTTTGTCTTTATTATTGAGATGAATAATCTTATTTTTTTCTTGATGATTTAAAATTGTAAGAGTTGTCCAGCTATTGCTTAATAAAATTTTGCAGATCAAAAAGAAATCAGTTGCTTCTGTGCCTAATTCAGACTGTGAGTCTTCAGTCCTTTACATAGAAATCACCTCAGACAGTGATATGACTTGTCACCCTTCAGTTGTTTCAGGGTCCCCTGGGAACAAGAGATCCTGAGATTCCTGTCATTGTGCTGGCCCTCTGAGAGTTCAGAGTTCAGATTGGTTTGGGTTTCTTTTTTTTTTTCCTTTACCTTTTTTTTTAAAGCGAGACCAATTAAGAAGGCACCTGTGTAGTACCTAAAAGATCGGGGTGATAAATATATACCTTCTTTGTTACATTGTATGAAATGTAATAGAACCAATTCAGCTATAAAGTGCTAATGTAACTTGTTATCACTGAGTACTTGCAAGCTCTTTATCTGAAGTTTTCCTGGGACTAGATGAGGCAGAATGCTGAACACAGGAGTCGTATCTGTAAGCACTATACATGTGTCTACAAAACTACCCTTTTAGTCTTTTTCAAGGTAAAAATAGACATGGAGTCACTCAGGCTTTAGGAGACAGAAGAACCCAACTACTGTCAAGTCTAACGAAGTTTTAATTAAAAATTATTTTTAAGTACTTGTAGGATCGTAAATCTTTGAATAGTCATAGATGGCTCATTGCCTTGAACTTTGCATGAGAATTAAAATATAGCCAGGCATATTAGTGCATGCCTAAAAACCTCAGCTACTCAGAAGGCAGAAGCAGAGAGTATCATGAGTTTGATGTCAAACAAGGCAAAGTCAGCAAAATTCTAGGGCTAGAGGTATAACTTAAATGGTAAAGAGGTATTGGGTTTAGTACTAAAGTATATCTCATTTTATTATAGGCAGTCAGTGATCATTGAGTGATATTTCTAACATCTTCATCATTTAAACTAGGCAGCAGAGAGACCCAGCCAAAGCTAAACCCACCTCCTCAACTACCCCTTCCCCACCCTTGCCAAAAGCAACCACAATAACAAACCCATCAAAGTCTGAACCTATTCCTATCTGGGACTGAAGGAAGGATACTTGGCCAGAGCCACCGCCTCCACTGAACGAGACAGCTGTCAGTTTGGGAACCATTCTGTGTAAGTCAATGTTCCCAGATGCAATTTGTTTTTAAAAGTCTGGGGAAAAAAGTTTAACAAATCCCTTTCCAAACTTACTTTGAAAAGGATACATCCTATTTTTATTTTAACTCTGGCAACATTACAAGAATGAAGAATCTAACTCTCATATCCAATCTCCAAAAAACAACACAGAAGAGAAATGACTACGTCATGGAGATAGTATTGCAGCTCTCTAAGGCAGAGGTACCACAACAAAATCCGACTTCATTATGAAGTGCCTGCCTTCTGCCTTCCTTTCTGGAGAAAATTGGAGCATTGAGAAATTGAAATAATTTCTGGATTCCATAGACAACCAATCCTGAAATAGAAGCCAAGGTTTCTGGGTCACATTAATAAATAGACCTAGTTTATTCCCAGCTTCTCACTCGTGTATACAGAGCTATGAGCTCCTTACACTTGGTCGTCTGTGAAAAAGGGATTATAAATGGGCTATCCCTGCCCCTCCTCTGGTGAGCTCATCTGATCCTTAGAGTCAAATGTGAGTATTTGTGTAAGTACTTTTGAACTCTCAAAAGACAGAAGGCTTGGTTCACAAGCTATATTCCTTGGCCAGAAATCACCAGGGCACAGGTTTGTGTGGATTTGATTTTCTTCAGATGTGAGATCAGTTGTTTGTTGCATTAAAGAATGTGACACCACTGGGCACTGGTGGCTCACACCTGTAATCCCAGCTACTCAGAAGACTGAGATCTGAGGCTCGTGATTCAAAGCCAGCCTAGACAGAAAAGTCTGAGATTCTTATCTCCATCTTATCTCTGATAAACTACTCAGAAAAAGCCAGAAGTAACGCCATGTCTAGCCTGGAGCACAGAGAGGCTCAAGGACAACACCTAGGCCCTGAATCCAGGCCCCGGGACTGGCAAAAAAAGAATACAAAGCCACGTGCAGAGCAGGCTGGATTCTTAGATCACCTTCCAGGACGACTGATGGTTTCAGATGAAGAAGGTATTTGGTGTGGAGCAGAAACCAGCAGTAGCCCACACCCACCTGGCACTAGTTTAGGAAATGGTGCTGCCTCAACAGCTCTGCTTCCTTTTCCTGGATTTCCACAAGGCTAGAGCTCTGAAAACTACAGAACGCTAAAAGTGCATTAGTACCTGGATACAGGTGGCTCACTCCTGTAATCCTAGCTACTCAAGAGGCTGAGATCTGAGGATTGAGGTTCAAAGCCAGCTGAGGCAGGAAAGTCTTTGAAACTTTTTTTTTTTTCTGGGCCTGAGCGCTGTCCCTCAGCTCTTCAGCTCAAGGCTAGCGCTCTACCACTTGAGCCACAGCGCCACTTCCGGCTTTTATCTCTTTGCTTATGTGGTGCTGAGGAATCGAACCCAGGGCCTCATGCATGCAAGGCAAGCGCTCTACCACTGAGCCACCTTCCCAGGCCTCCTTGAAACTCTTTATCTCCAATAAACTACTCAGAAAAAGCCAAAAGTAGTGCTGTAGCTAAAGTGGTAGAGCACTAACTTTGAGCAAAAAGAAGCTCAAAGTCAGTACCAGGCCCTGAGTTCAAGCCTCAGGAACAGCTTTTTAAAAAAAAAAAAAGTTCAATTACTGATTTTTGTCTTAAGGAGGAAGGTCTGAGGAATTTAATAAACTTTAGAATCCTTTTAGGGCAGTGTCCAAACACTTTACACATTTTTTTTTCCTTTGTCATGTGAATAGTCTGTGCC